ATCTCTGGACACGACGGTGGAACCGGTGGCTTCCCGGTGGACCGGTATCAAATATGCTGGTCTCCCTTGGGAGCTTGGTCTGGCTGAGACTCATCAAACCTTGGTGTTGAATGATCTTCGTGGTCGAGTTGTTGTTCAAACTGATGGACAACTTCGTACAGGTAGAGATGTTGCAATCGCCTGTCTTCTCGGTGCTGAGGAGTGGGGCTTTGCTACGACTCCTCTTATTGCTATGGGCTGTATTATGATGAGGAAGTGCCACCTTAACACATGTCCTGTCGGTATTGCTACCCAAGATCCTGAACTTCGAAAGAAGTTCACGGGTACCCCAGAGCACGTCATCAACTTCTTCTATTATATCGCCAATGAGTTGCGTGCGATCATGGCAAAGCTTGGTTTCAGAACTATCAACGAGATGGTTGGCCACGCCGAGAAGTTGAGAGTCCGCGAAGATCTTCGTACCAACAAGACTCAAAACATCGACCTGTCTCTTATTCTCACCCCAGCACACAAGCTCCGTCCTGGTGTTGCTACGTTCAATGTCCGCAAACAAGATCACCGACTTTATGTCAGATTGGACAACAAACTCATCTCTGAAGCGGAGTTGACTCTTGATAAGGGGCTTCCATCACGGATTGAGTGTGACATTGTTAATACAGACCGAGCTATGGGCACATCACTTTCGTACCAAATCTCTAAGCGATATGGTGAGGATGGTCTACCAATGGATACGGTGCATGTCAACATCAAGGGCTCTGCTGGACAATCTTTCGGCGCTTTCTGTGCCCCTGGAGTTACGCTTGAGCTTGAAGGTGACGCCAATGACTACGTCGGAAAGGGTTTGTCTGGAGGACGTCTCATCGTCTACCCACCACGTGCCGCTGTCTTCAAGGCTGAAGAGAACGTCATTGTCGGAAACGTCTGCTTATACGGAGCGACGAGTGGAACCTGCTTCTTCCGTGGTATCGCCGCCGAGAGATTTGCTGTCCGTAACTCAGGTGCTATCGCTGTTGTTGAAGGTGTAGGAGATCACGGATGTGAGTACATGACTGGTGGTCGTGTCCTCATTCTTGGAAGCACTGGACGCAACTTCGCTGCCGGTATGTCTGGTGGTATTGCCTACATTCTCGATATCCAGCAAGATTTCATGTCCAAACTCAACCCCGAAATGGTTGAGGCTTCTGGTATCGATGATCCTACTGAAATAGCCTACGTCCGTAGCTTGATCGAGGATCACCATCATTACACGGGTTCCGAGCTGGCAGCACGTATTCTTCTCGACTTCAACCGAGCACTTCCTCGCTTTGTCAAGGTTCTTCCTGTCGACTACAAACGCGTTTTGGCGGAAGAAGCTGCCAAGGCTGCTGAGCTAAAGCGAGCTGAATTCCAAATGCCGTTCCTTCCTGGAAATCCTCAATTGGAAAAGCCGAAGGAACATAAGAAGAAATCGGATCTCCAAGATATCGAAGAGACCATTGGTGACGCAGCCAAGGAAAAAAAGAGATCTCTTGTGCTGGACAAGACAAAGGGCTTCATGAAGTATCAACGCCGATCAGAGAAATACCGCAACGCCAAGACCAGAACCCGTGATTGGGCCGAGCTGTCCAAGCGTCTTGATGAAGATGAACTCAAGTACCAAGCTGCTCGTTGCATGGACTGTGGTGTTCCATTCTGTCAGTCCGACTCTGGATGTCCAATCTCCAACATCATTCCAAAATGGAATGAATTGGTCTTTCAAAATCAATGGAGAGATGCTCTCAACCGATTGTTAATGACCAACAATTTCCCTGAGTTCACCGGACGTGTTTGCCCAGCTCCTTGCGAGGGTGCTTGTGTTCTCGGCATCAACGAAGATCCAGTCGGTATCAAGTCCATTGAGTGCGCTATTATTGATCGAGGATTCGACATGGGATGGATGATTCCACAACCACCAAAGGTTCGGACTGGAAAGACTGTTGCCGTCATAGGATCGGGTCCTGCAGGTTTGGCATGTGCGGACCAGTTGAACAAAGCTGGTCATCAAGTCACTGTTTACGAACGTGCTGACCGCTGCGGTGGTCTTCTCATGTACGGAATTCCCAACATGAAACTTGACAAGAAGATTGTCAAGCGTCGTACAGACTTTATGGCCGCTGAGGGTATTGAGTTCAAGACCGGTGTTGCAATTGGTCAAGACATTACTCTCATGGATCTGAAGGCAGAGAACGATGCCGTTGTCATTGCCACTGGAGCCACAGTTGCTCGCGATCTTCCGATCAAGAACCGAGGTCTCGAGGGCATCCACTTCGCTATGCAATTCTTGCACAAGAACACGAAGTCTCTCCTTGACTCCGAGCTCGATGATGGTGAGTTCATCTCTGCCAAGGGTAAGAACGTCGTTGTCATTGGTGGTGGCGATACTGGAAATGATTGTATCGGTACCTCCGTTCGTCATGGCGCAAAGTCGGTCACCAACTTCGAATTGCTACCACAGCCACCCAATGAGCGTGCTCGTGATAACCCATGGCCACAATGGCCAAGAATCTACCGTGTCGACTACGGTCACACCGAAGTGAAGCAACATATGGGCAACGATCCTCGTGAGTACTGTGTTATGTCTGAGGAGTTCGTAGACGATGGTGAGGGCAAGGTTAAAGGTATCAACACTATCCGAGTCGAGTGGACCAAGTCTTCCACTGGAGGCTGGGACATGAAGAAGATTGAAGGTTCTCAACAGTTCTTCCCTGCCGAGCTCGTACTTTTGTCCATGGGTTTCTTGGGTCCTGAGGATCGTGTCCTTGGAGAGGAGGTTGAGAAAGATGCTCGCAAGAACGTCAAGACACCACCTGGAAAGTACCACACCAACGTTGAGGGTGTCTTTGCTGCTGGTGATTGTCGTCGTGGACAATCCTTGATTGTTTGGTATGTTTTCAGTCTCTTAAATAATGTGTCGTACTAACGAGTTCTAGGGGTATTAATGAAGGTCGTCAGTCCGCTCGCGAAGTTGATCTTTACCTAGAGAAGTCCACTCTTCTTCCTATCACCGGGGGAATTGTTAAGCGTACCGCCAACGAAATTCTTGGTAAGCAACTCTCTCACGAGGTGAAAGGACGTGCAGAGCGCGCTCCTATCCAAGTTGCAGCCGCAGCATCTTGAGTTGATCATCACCTTCAAGTGCAAGGACAATATTTGAGCATTGGAGAAAAACGACGAGATCGAGCCGCAAGGCCAGGATTTTAAGATGTCCTGATTGTGCAGGGTCACTGAGAAAGGTCTTGGATTCGGGCGGAAAGGGTATATGAGGTTGAATTGGTAAAGGGAAGGCTTTTATGTCTTTTTAACGATGATACCACAAGCGAATCTGTTCGTTGCATCGGGCGCATGTCTGCTTTGGTATCGATTTTGTTGGATGATACGATAACAGCGAGTCTTTTTCTTGGATACCTTGACAGTGAACGACTTTCGTTCCGTGCACCGGGTGGTGGAACGACATATCGCGATGGGGTTGAATGTATGCATATAGGAATTGGAGGAGCACATGCATTCTTTTCATGTAAATATCTTTAGCGTTTGAGAAGTATATATTTTTGCAACTTAAATGTGCCTGTTGCTCGTTGTGATCGCTGACTACTTTAGGAGCTTCACTGTTGCAAGCTCCCGCTCTCGAAGGACACAATGAGTGGAAGTCGAATCACGACATATGCTCAGGATAGTTGACGAAATATCACATTTCCTTAATTAAGTTGACAAAATATTTGTATTTCGTCTATTAATTTCAGGAAATTAACCATCTAAAAATCTGTTTAGAACTTACTAACTGAAAACTGACTGATGCGTAAGGAGGTTTATGGTTTACTGTCCTGGAGCATGCTCGCTGTGGATGATATGAGTGGCAGCCAGGACGGGATGTTTATTTGGTTAAGTTGAGGCAATATCTATATTTCGTCTATCAGGTTAAGAGATTAGGATATTTCGTCTATCATTTTCAGGAAATCAGATATCTTGGACTCTGATGGAGAATTTGTCATGCTTTTAAGGACGTGTCTACGCTTAGTTTTAAATTGACAGGAGCTTTAGGAAATGTCACTTATACGATTCGTAGAGGACAAATAAATGGCAGAACCGCCTTTCTATTCTACACAGGTATAGTAGAGTTTAGAGCGGACAAGCAGCTTTTATTTGGACAGAGGTGAAAAGATTTTATTTACTGAAAATCATGGACGAAATATCGTGTTTCGTCAATTGTTCTGAGGAAAATTTTATGTTTTGAGTGTTGCTTGTGTCCATCGCCAGGTATAAAAATGTCATCTTTCCCTTTCTCTGGGAGAGGCTTCAAAATTCTTTATTTAGAAACCCACACAGCCTGAGCATTGCACCATCCCTTCAGCCCTTCGAGTCCACTCTCCACACCCATCCCACTATTCTTATGCCCTCCCCACGCAACCTGGGGTCCCGTTTCGGCATGGGAATTCACCCATCTATCCTTAATTAGCCCATCTCCTTTCTAGTATGGAATTCCCAACTTACACAATCCCAGCCTCCAGCCGTCGACTCACACGCTCCGCATTCTTGACATCCTTTCCCCAAACCGAGCCACCTAGTCCCATCAAAGAGTCGTTCGCACGCCGTAGAACGTCCTCTTCGTCAGTCCACTTGAGGAGTGGTATAATAGGTCCGAATTGCTCTTCCGTTACTATTCGGGCATCGTCTGGTGGATTGTCAATCACAGTCGGCGGCAAGAAAAATCCCTTTTTGTCAGTTGAAAGGTCGGCGCCAAGTGCAACTTTCAGACCTTGTTTTGAGATCTCGCTATGCATGTCTAGGAGTTTTTCGTATTGCATTTTATTCTGGATAGGTCCCAGAGTAGCTTCGGGATCACTGGCGTTTCCGATCTTGAGAGTCGAGACGAAGGAGGTGAATGCGGCGAGGAAGGCGTCGTAGATAGATGAGTGGACGTAGATACGTTTTATGGCGACGCAGAGTTGACCGGTGTGGAAGAAGGATAGGGTTGCTACCTGGTCATTGAGTTAAAATTATCTCAAAGTGTCCTCATTTGAAAGAGTGTTACCTTCGGTACGGTAACAGCAAGATCAGCATCCGGCAAGATAATAGCTGCATCATTCCCTCCAAGTTCAAGGCTGACACGTTTAAGTGTAGCAGCACATGCTTGCATCACTTTCTTTCCCGTAGCGATCGAGCCGGTAAAACTGACTTTTGCAACGCCAGGATGAGCTGTAAGCATAGGACCTAAATCCTCCTCTCCGCTCAAGACGTTAAGGACGCCTTTGGGGAAGACCTGAGCTCCTACTTCGCCTAGTTTGAGAGCCGTGTAAGGGCTAAAAGGGGAGGGTTTTAAGATGAAGGTGTTCCCGGCGAGGAGAGCTGAAGTGAGTTTGATCGTAGCGAGTAGCATAGGGAAGTTCCATGGCACAATTCCAACTCCTACGCCCATTGGGACATAGCGTTGTACAATACTTCGCTGTCAACTTATTAGCTCCGTGAAATAATTTGGACTTCGCAACACAAGACATTACCTCAGCACTATCCTCAACCACCTCCTCCCCTAGCTTAATCTTCACCGTCTCCCTAATCTGATGGGTAACCAAAAACAACTCAATCCCCACCCCCTGCGGCGGCTTCCCACATTCCTCCCCAAGCAATTTCGCAAAACCAGCTTGATTAGCATCGATAGCGTCAGCAAACTTGCTTAGATACTCAGCTCGCTCATCTTGACTAAGATTGCTCCAGGAGGGGAAGGCGGCTTGGGCGGCTGCTACGGCGTTGTCGACGTCTTCTTGCGCTGAGATGGGGACTTCGGGGAGTTCTGTCTCGGTGTTGGGGTTGATTCCTCGACGGGTGCGTGGGATGGGGGTGAGGGTGTTGTTTATTGTGTTTTGGAAGGTCTAGGGGATATTAGTTGGTGTAAATGGTGGGATTGTGAGAATGGGTTTAAGATACTTCGAAGTTAGCGAGCTTGTAGGTAGATGTCGCCATGGTTGGAAATCACGATTTAGGATTTGAAAATTGAAACGCGAAGTAAATTGAGCACAGCTTTACTCTTCGTACTAGAAATAAAAGAAGAAACAGGCAGAAGTAAGAACATATATTTCTCCTCTTTTATGTCAGACCCAACACCAACCGCATGTGCCCCCCTTTTGCCTACGTGCAGCTTAAGCGAGCTTCCGCGGCCGCCATACAATGGCAGGACAAGATTAAGGTTACTGGACAAAACGGCAGCTCGAAAAATTCCCAAGATCGTTCTTCTCTTGGTTTGGATTTTTTGACATAATAAACTCTATCGACCAGTTTAATTGGCCAATTGTCAAGTTTCAATCGCCAGCCAGTAAGCTAGGTGAAGTAAGCACAACTTCTAGCGAGTGTAACGTCAGTTTAACCGGAAACTCATCCATACCTGGGTAGTCGTATAGTCTGACATTACACGAAGCTTCTCATGAGTGGAGGTCTTCTGTTTTTTCTGCTGCAATTATTGTAGAAATGAAAGTTGATTGGAAGGAGTGTAAAATAGCCGAGCGCCAGAGATATAAACAGGTCTTCACATGTAGCAAGCACGTATATCAATACAGAATATATAGCATGAGTGTTTTGGTCAGCTTCAAGTGGATGATACGAAGATTAATCTATCCGAGGGAGCATGCTTGAGATATTTAAAATTGGCTGTACTTTTGAATTAGGTATATATAGCGAAGATTCTTTACTTATTACGCAAGTAACACAACTATATGGCATTTACAAGAACAAGCTAGCTTTTACATCAAATTATATGTCTTTTCTTTCCGTCCCCGTACGAAAAAAATGAAAACTACAATTCAGGTACTCATTCACTTCTCGCTTTCAGCTCACTGACCCTAAATCTCAACCACATAACTAAACTCCTATTATCATCTACTTGATCAAAACCCTGCTATAACAGAACTGGGCGATGATTTCTCTTTACGACCCGAGCTCTCAAATCATTCGATGCTCAATTTCAAACAATGCGCCAGGGACAAGATTCAGAAATTGTCGAATAACAAAGGATGGATAAATGAATTAAGATTGCTGTAATGGTGCTCTGAAGTGAAGAGATGTCTGACCACTCTGATGTAGGAAATGAAGAAATAGCTCAATCTCAAAGGTAGGGCAGAATCCGAGCCTCCATCCCAATCCTTCATCGAAACAAAGATTACAATTTGAATCATTTCGATCTCGTTGACTTTTCTTCCAGACTAATGACGAGAAATCTATCACGAATTAGAACCCGTCGCGAAAGTACCGAGAAGTGACTGTTCTCGGAATAGTCTAACTGATGGAAGATTTCGCGATTTTGCACGCCCTCCTGATACCATGTTCAATACCAGAGACTGTGATCTTCAGGAATTTGATGTTGTCCCAGACAGAGTTGACATAATAATTCTGGTCGCTTAAAAGCATGATCATATCAAGAGCACTGTAAAATTAACAGAATTTGGAATGTTTATTGTGAGTAGACAGCGAGTTCTTGGATAAGTTTCTTGATTGTCATATCCTGCTGTCACGAGAACTAATTAATTACTCACAAAACATAGCATCACGTAGGTGAAGGTACCATCCCTCGGAGGTTTATCTCAAGACTTAGGAAAAATGCTCACTGATATACGTATGTCTCGCTTATCTCGTTCAAATCTATCTAATATTTGTCACAACAAGACTCGCAAGAAGTCCCATCAATTCAGGGCCTAACGACGCTATATCATATTACTCTAACTATAAACAAATCACTCCACATCTATTGCACAGCTTTCAAACTCTTAACCAAATCCACAATACTCTTCTCAAACCCTCCAAACTTCACCCCAAGCACCTCCTTCGTCCTACTATTATCAATCTTGAACAAACTCTCCTTCCCCTTCCCAGGGTAATCACCACCCTCGACATCCTTCCCCGGCAACTTATCCTCCAGCTCCGGAAAGTTCTTGCGGATTACCTCCGCAATCTCGCGATTGCTGAAGTATCCCTCGGTGATAAAGAAGCGCTTGTTCGCCGCCTCCTCCTTCTCGATGGCTAGGACGTGACACAGCGCGAGATCGCGCACGTCAACCCAGATGAAGGTTCCCGTGTCGGGGATCCCATTCTTCCATTTGCCCGTCATGCAGTCGCGCGTGCGTTGGTTGCTTGTGTTCAATGCGTCTAGGGAGTTGAGGTAATGCACGATAGGACCGATGACGAGAGGTGGACACATGGTAGCGATTGTGAAATTGGGTTTCTCTTTCTCGATGAACTCCCAGGCTGCTTTCTCGGCGAAGGTTTTGGAGGCTCGGTAGCCGTTGGAGGGATTTTCCAGCGCTTGCTCGAGGGTTACGGGGTTCCAATCTGCTTCGGAGTAGGTGTGTTCAGACCAGGTGTTTCCTTTCGCGCCGTCGACGATGGAAGCGAAGGAGCTGGTTATGACGACCCGTTTGACAGAAGGTGCGTATGCTTTTATGGCTTTGAGGATCCCTGTGGTGCCAATGATGGCTGGGTCGAGGAGGTCTTTCTTTGTGTCTGTGACGTTGAAGTGGAAAGGGGAAGCGGTATGGATTACTGCCTCGAGACCGTCAATCTTGAGCGCTTCATCGAAGGCACCTTCTTGGGCGATGTCAGGGACGATCTTGAAGGATAGCTTGGAGGAGGGCGTATCTGGGTGGGCGTTCTTGATGGCATCGGCTTTAGATTGGGAGCGTACGGAGGTAATTACTTCGTGTCCGTGTTCGAGGAGGATGTCGAGGACGTGAGCGGCTATGAAGCCAGATCCACCTGAATTTTGAAGTCAGTACGAAGATATTGAAGCAGATTGCCATGCTATGGTGGGGTAATTTTGAAGGCGGAAAGACTTGTAAGGACATACCAGATAGAAAAACCTTCATTTTTCCGGATATTGTTGATCAATTGAGTTGTTTGGTGTTTTTCCAGTTCTTTGGCTTTTCTTGCTTGTCTTCAAATATTTATTGTGGCGAGTGAAGTATTTATATGTGTTCCTTCACCAACTTGTTCAGTCGCAAGAACCCCGCATCAATACATCATGATTCTCGCCTACATTAACGCCGAAAATGTAGGCGTTAGATGTTGACCACTTCGGCATTTATCCAACGCCTCTATTTTGACGCTGATAAACAGTCATAGAGATGGGGGGATTGTTGGTCAGAGGATGTATTAAATCTTATATGTTGATAATACTACTTCGCAGTTAGTTTATCTCCATCCTTATTCCCTCATGACTGCGTATGAATTCTTTGACTATGGTCCGTAGATAGTATATCTCCGTACTTGCTTCATGTTTGCGTTTTCTATCTCTTGCGAAATTGGAGGCTGTCGTCGACATGATCTCTTACATAGCTCTGTGGGGTTTTCTGTATAAACAAGCCATTGTTCTAGTTGAGCAGTCTAAGAGCCAGTTCAGAGGAGGCAGAAAAGAAGAGAGATGGTTGGATTGCAAAGAATCCAGCTTATAATCCGGATTATGAATATGAAATTCCATAATGCTTTACGCGCCTACTGAGTGCGAGTCAAAGCGAGAGATTGCAGAGACGAGTAGTGTATCGGATTTCATACTCTAAGTCAGCCATAGAACTTGACATCCATCATCTGCTTCGTCTCACGTCCAGCGCAGGCCAAACAGTATTGATCGAACAATCACAGGAAAGGTTGCTTTCCGGCACAAGAACACAACGTATTCGGATCTCGTAAGGAAGAGTCTATATTGACGGCCTCGAACACGTCCCCCTAAACCTAACGGATCACATCATCTCAATACGCCCTATTTTTGAGAGACGACACGTCCCATATTTCTAACAATATCCCACATCCGTGGTAGCCCACAATTCTCTAAATCGCCCTGCAAAACCACCCCGTCCCCACAAGCAATCCTGCCAAGCTAGAAGATAAATACATTACCCATTTTAGATGCCTAGACACCGATATCCCGAATTTACAATTCCCTAGATGAATTAGTACCCTGTAACCCTTCTAGAAGTAACTCCATTTCCGCTGTCCTGCTCCAAATAAGGAACGACTGCCCGTTTAATACAAGGCATTCCTCAGCCCCGTCTATCCGCGTCACTCTTAAGCCTATAAGTATCATTCAGCCCAGGAAAAGCCTTTGCAAATGCCGGTCCCAGACTCCAGTTGTCCAACCTTCGGAGATGTCGTTCAAACACCGGATTAATCATGAGATCCTCACTCTCAGGGCTGCTTAATAGGGTATCTGTAGGCTCGTACGGCCAATTCACGTTCAATGTAGTGGTGAATGGGATGAAGAAGTTATCGAATAGATAGTCTCGAGGGTTATATTCCCGAACTAGCCTATCGCGCATTTTTGGCCAAGGAAGATGGTCGATCCATGCAGGATGTGGTGTGAATAATTGGGAAGGTCGTGGAGCTACCCACTCAGGGAGTCTATCGTAGTTCTCCTGTGATGGTGAGATTTGCCATCGCATGATCAAAAACATGATATAGAGAACGGCGACCTTTTCCGGGAGTTCGGAGAGATCCGGAAAGGTTGCCAGAATATCAGTGAACACCTTGGATAACGGATGCGAATTTGCACCTTTAGCCGGATTAAGGAGTGAAGACACACTTGGATATGCTGGGCCGACTAGTTTTGGAGTTTCGACGCCTTCGGCCGCCTGTTGATGGCGCTCATGAAGAAAATCGAGGAGAAGACTGTCTAGTGGGCAGGTAGGAGGGCCGTTACGAATCGGAGCAGCATGACCAGCGACATCTAGTCCAGTTATAGGCGTTCCTACTCTATAATTAGAGTGGCTTCCAACCGAACTACTTCTGTGGTGTGCTGGACTTTCTCCGTCCATTGTCCTAGATCCTGCCTGATATGTTGATGGTTCCACATTGCCATTCAACCCATTAGGTATTTTATTTATTCGCTGGGTTCCATCAAGTAAAAAGTCCAAACCCAGCCTCTCTGGCCCCATATCCAGATTGTGCACCAAATCGTGTTTTTGTTGCATCAGCTGCTGAGTCTGCGCTGTTTGAACGCTCGCAGTATATCGCGGATCGGGTACCATATTTGCATTCGGGGCCTGCCATTGTGTCCTAGGAGCGCCCCCTGGAGAGGTTGCACTCGGTGGAGTCGATATGTTCAAATGTGAAGAGCCGGGACGATTGGGTATATATGGTGGTTGCGGGGGTGTATAAACCGGTGCGTCGAAACCTATAATGTTATCAGCTTTAGTCCTTCCTCTCCAATTGATATGACTAACCATGGTGGCCCAAGATAGGTTGTATCAGAGCCAGCACACTCGACAATCTCTTCTTGATATCCGCATTCTCTGCCTCCACCATTTCTTTCTGTCTTAACACATGCTGCAGCTCCTGATACGGTTGCTGCGATGTCAACTCCCTAATCTTCCTCTCCAGATTCTCAATCTGATTCTTCGTCCTCTCACGAATGGCCCTTTGAGCCTCCCTATCATTCGCACGTTTCTTGGCTAATTGATCCGGAGTCAGGTTCGCGACTCCCCTGGATGAAGCACTATTATTTACTCTTCTCTTCTTACTGCCATCTTGGCCCGCGGTCGTTGGATCCTGCGAGACGCCCCGCGTACCATCCGTATTAGCCTCTTCACTGAAATCGCGTTTGTCTCCCGCCGAGGACGACGTGCTGTTTCCCGGCGGCGGGGGTGCTCCGGATGAGTGTGAGACCTGAGGACTGGACTCGTTATCTTGGGTCATGACTGCTGCGATCACCCGTCACGAAACGAGAAGGGAGGGTCCCCGGATTTGCGGTCCCATCCAACTGTGTTGAGGACCAAGGTTGCGCATTAGAGCAGGGTCGGGAGTCGAGCGAAAAAAGTCGGGTTCCTGCGTTGGCGATGGGAGGTGAGGGTTGTCCTGTACGGAGCCGGGGATCTGCTACCAGGGACAGGAGAGGAGCTATCACTTTTGCGTCTGTGAGGAAATGGGTAAATCACCGGGTTGTGGGCCAGGGAATTGTCCGTATCTGGGGAAACTCAGGTCGACGCAGATGGTGGTCAGAAATTGTTCTTCGAGTGCGTGAAAGCTCAGTCATGTACTTGGGGGATTCCGTTGATGACGAGTCATTCATCACAAGTGCCGTGCCTCGAATTAATTTAATTCCCATCGGAAATGATCCTGACTCGTCAGACGGTTCAACCAACGGCAGATAAGCTTTAGCTTCGGACCGTGATCACGGGATCTAGAATGACGTACTGGCAGGGAGCAAATACCGACTGATACGACGGGGCATTTGATTGAGGAAACAACACAACATACTCTACTAAAGTATATAGGCGCTGGAGTACCAGCTACGCCAATTGTTTTTTAACGAGGATTGTGTATGTCATATACTACTATTTATCCAGAGATCTAAGGTTTAGTATATTTCCTTGTTATTTTATATTACAGCCTTTATTAGTTCCACTTACTGCTTTCCATCGGACTCGTATTCCTTGAACTAGGCCTCCTGCCCCTGTTTAATTTACAAATACTAGTTTCAAAACTTCAACTCAAATTTTCAAGGCGTAGGAGCGAAATTTTTCTGTCGATTAGCATTCTTCCCTAGTACAACATCAAAATCAAATCCTAACAATAGAATATTCTCAAGTCATAGAATATCTCAAATCTCTTAGTTCCACTCTAGCAGCAGAAGCTTTCAAATTCCAAATACTTTTCGTCGAATTTTTAGTTATCAAAGACCACCAGAATTGCCCAGTTAATCCCAAGATAACACATGGATGTTTAAACCACAACACGCATTTCATACCCGCCAGAACATTGTGTCGACTGACAACACCCAAGGATTTCTCAGACACCTCTACATCTCCCCATCCCGACCATTCCCCCGCTAATTATACCGACAATGACAAGTACACGAACTCCCACCCGTAGCAAGCGTTAGACACTATTCAAAATCGGCATTTCACTCCTAATCCCTTTACTCTCTCCCTCGCCAACTCACTGCCCACCCCCATTTGCCTCCACTCCACCCTAAAACCCTCAAATGAAAAACAACCACTCACCCTAGAAGCATCACAATGAATCCCACTCCCACAACCCGCCGAGCGACAACAACTCGCTACACAACCACCTGTAACAATTCAATAAATGATATTCTCTCCACAGAATAAGAAAGGGAGTAAGGACGGACTTTGAGTACACGCGCGTGCTTCAAGCAGAGAATTCAGATTAGACTCCGCCTCTGGAGAATGCATAGCAAGCGAGATCCCAAGAAAGAGAGGGAGGAGTTTGAAGATGTACATGATATAAGGATGTGTGAGTTTTAGGGTAAATGTGTTGAGCAAAGAAGATTCAGGATTCTCAAATTTCGCAATGAAAACAAACTGTGGATGTAATCTAGTCAGTATTTAAACATTGAAGACGAGGCAGCCAAAAGCAAAAGCTGAAAGATCCGGGTCATCAGACGCTCCGAGAGGTGTATACGAGAGGGGTAACATTTCCATGTTGTTGTTGTGAAGGTCGAGCCTCGTTCTTTGAGAGGCATGCTCGTGTCACACCCCAGAAGAACGCATCTGCGGGGTAACATAGATTAAACAAGACGTAAGATCGGGCAATCCCAACTCCCAAGGCATCTTTTACTTCGAAAAGTACTTTTCTCTACCAAGACAAAGGAAGGCTGTTTTAGAACTGGTCTTGTGCTTACTTTCACTCTCGGATCGTTTCCCCTTTCACATACAGGGGCTCGCTAAACACAAGCCATACGATTACGCTCTTTGTGGCAGCAAAATACCACCCCTTCATTTTGTTTCATCCAGAAACCAGTCTATTATCTTCAAAAAAGAACTTTTCTCATGGTATAACAACCCCCCCTCAATTCTCACCACCCCAGTTTTCTATCTATAATACAAATCCTCATCCCTTATAACTCCGTCTGCGCCCTCGCCAACGCATCATGAAGATGCGCCGGGAATCTGTATCTCAACTGACTCGTATACGTCGTCAAATCCAGACTCGTCTGTCTCATCTCATCCATAAGCTGTTTCCGCGCTCCCTCGTTGCCGCTGAACTGGCTAGCCATGTAATGAGCGCGCGCTTCGTTTGCGCTCTGCAGTGCCCACATGATGAGGTTAGGTACGCATGCGGCGATACAGGATGGGAGGGAGGAGAATTTGCCGGCTTGATTACGGATTTTAGTTGCGTTGCCGCCGGTTTTGATGGGGAGGATGTCGAGACTTCCGAGGGACTGGATGGGAATTAGTATGTAGGATTAATTGAGTGTAAAAAGGTAACTTACGTCGAGCGCATCAATCCAACGTCGGTTTTCGACGTGGTTTCTGACACGTTGAACGCATTTCAAAGCGTTGAATGTGTTGACAGTCTTGTCGACTAATTTGTGTGCACATCGAGATTGATAGATGTTCAGCATACCCTGAGCAAGAACCATTGGATCATCAATCGCCGTCAAACTGATACTGCCGGCTTCAACTGTGTGTTGATCCGCTTGTGCGTTTGATTTGGTAGGTTCAAGGCGTAATTGTTCTTGTCCAATGGGTACGGAAAGAAACTCTCCGCAAACGCGGTTGAGCAGCCTCATGGTTGTGTCAACTTCACCAGCTAAAAAGTACAGTAGTACTGCATCGGTGACCCGCCCGTTGTCATCTGCAGTACTGGCAGCTTGGATGGTAATGGTTCTCATGAAGTCGGTAGTCTCTTCAAGGCCAATCAAGTTGATACGTTCCTCAATGACGCCTCTTTGACGTTCACCATTGAAACGAAGATCACCTAAGAGCAGGGCAAATTCCTTACTCTCCAGTACCAGCTCTCGTAGTGCATCATGGCACAAGGTGATTTGACTTATACCACCTTGCCCAGGAATGTCCTTATTAAGACAAATGAGGACGAGGTAGTCAACCGCAGCTGCAGCGTTGGCAGCTCTAAAGTCACGGGTGTAGTAACCAATCACCCGTCCAAAGTTGATCTGAGGATTTTCTCTAGTTGTCCAGCTCAAGAGATCTTCTCCGGCAAGATTTGGGTCTGAAACTCTCAGCAAGCCGTAGAAGTCCATTGCAATTGCAAGATGAACGGCATCAGTGTACGAAAATGGGTATAGATATGCCACGGCTTGTTCAAACATCCCACATGCAACTTGGAAGAAGACGAAGGATCCAAAGGAACATCCAATTTCGGCACCTCCTTTTTCGAAGAATCGGTTGCCAATTTCCTTCATGGTCTTCTGTAGATCTGCTAGTCCGTATGCTTCACTAGCAATCTCGTCGATCCGACTGCTTTCACGTGCGAGCACCAACTGAAGCCAGACGAAATCTTCAACCGAGTGATTAACACCCTCAAGATTACGAGATTTCAAGTCGCAACGTCCAATGATCTTGTAACAAGCCATTCGATATGGGTCGATGGAGTTTTCGGGTGCGATTCGAAGTCGCTGATTGTATTCGTTATTGATTCGGTCCTGTAGATCCCGGCGCAACCGCCTATCAGGGCTGTTGCAGTATTCCGTGATATACGAGCTGAAGTTGCGGTCAATGGCTCTGAATGCTACCGCATTAGCGTTCACATAGTCCATTATCTCCTGAATGTGACCGGTGCGTAAGAGGTAGTAAACCAGCGCCCAAACATAGTCTTCCCCAAGGATTTGAAGGTCAACATTATCGCCGGAGAGTCTTTTTTTCGAGGCCAGTAGTCGCACATAGGCCTTCATCTTGCTGATGACATTCGGAATACCTCCCAAGTTCGCTTCCCTCGGGTTTTTACTGATTAGTGACTCCACTTCGTCAAAGGCCAGTCTCTCCAGACACTTGGTCCCTCCCCGAAGGATCTTTTTGTTGACTTCCATACTTGCTGAAGAAACAGAGTTTTCGTCCAAGTAGGCCTTTGCAAACGAACGTTCTTTCACAGCTAATGGATCAGATAACGAATCTACATCGGGATTTTCAGCCACGATATCAGCCAAAGCCCTGTAAGCTTTGAGTAAATCCGGACTATGCTGTTCCCCAGTCTGCGCAACGACTGTACTCAGTTCCTTGCATATTGGATAGAAGCGTTTCCTTAGTCGTGAAATGTTTAATTCCTGCACCTTCTCCGCATATTTTCCTTGCTTGTCTCTCTGGAATTGCTCGCCAGGTTTTGTAGCTGTGATTCCGTTCTTCTCACTCTGCTTTTCCACATCTGCAAATGCTTGTTGACTTGGCTTTCCTCCAGAACTTGCTGCTCCAATCGCTGATTTCGCCATGCTAGATCTCCCAAACGCACTTGTACCCATCGGTCCAACGCCTCTAGAGCCGGCAAGAGCTGCAGCCTTGCTCTTTCTTGATCGTCCAAATCCACCAGAGTCGGGAGCAGAAGACTCTCTGAAGCTTGCACGGCCAGCTGCTGGGATATCTTCCCTTGGCTTGATACCAAAATGCTGATATATCTTTTTCCGTTGTGCCTCCCATTCCATCGTGACATTGTCTTCTAAGAATGCATCGAAGTCGCGTACAGACCGTGCCAGTCCATCTGCAATCATACTAAGCGTAGTCTGCGTCTGGATATTCGCTAGGTATCCTTCCACATCTGTATCCACCTGTTGTTGTGTCACTGATCGTTCGGCCCGTCCCGTCCCAGCACTGAAAACATTCAGATCTCTGACAGCAGCGCCTGGATCCACCCCAGAAGCCGCAAGAAGGTAATGCGCTCTACCATCCACATTGCCATCTGCCGCGCCAGTCCCCAGACGTTTTATCCGCTGTCGAAGATCTCCCAGACCCAATTGAAGCGCAGGAAGATCCTCAGTAATCCCAGATTCGCCATATGCCCTTTTTCTACTCCTCTCTAACAGCGAATCGAAGTACGCATGGTTCTGTCCATTCTGCGTGGACTGCTGCAATGGGCCTTGCGACTGCGCAGCGGTATTTGGTTGCTGTTGGCCTTGTGTACTCTGTCCGAATCCTCCAAATCCACTATTGTTCGTGTTTTGATTTTGGTTCTGCTGCGTACTCTGCCCAAAACCACCGAATCCACCAAGCCCAGAACCGGCAGTCTGCTGTTGATTTTGCGGTTGTGAAGTCTGACCCAGCCCCAAACCACCCCCCTGGCCCTGGTTCTGGTTCTGCTGCTGATTGTTGAGATTTCCAAACAGACTCGATCCACCAGTATTCCCCCCTAACCCACTTCCTCCTGTATTACTCGACCCAAACAATGTGCTTCCCCCCAGACTAGGCGCTGAATTGGTATTGGTATTAGCGCCAAATAGAGGCGCGGGTTTGTTTCCAAAGAGACCACCGCCAGTTGCCATTTCGAATTATATCTCGGCGTTTTGGTCTGGGTGTTGGCGGGTCGAGTTAGTTTGTTGCGCGGATGCAACAGCTGGAATACAAGTACGCGATACTTTATTTTGTATTTGGGAGACGCGAGGAAGCTTTCCCCATAGAGGGCCTGAAATGTAAGGCGTGAATTTATTGACTGCTCGCTTCGCCCAGATTAGGTAGCAACCAATTTCTAACGACCATCTGTTTTCAATGTGGATGAGAACGGCTCACTCAAGAACTCGGTTTAATCTGATCAATTTGACACTCCATGTTCTCAGTTGTATTCGGAAGTTAATTGGAACAAGATTTTTTTATCCGTAATAAAAGTCTTGTCGTATACTCCTAGTAGACTACCCAGTTTCCCTTCAGTAATTGAACGTCCACCTATCGAAAACAATATATTTCAAGATTATTTGCTTTTTCTGAATAATCACATAACATTCTCATGCTAATTCCTAATCTATTTTACCCACCTTTCATCGCTATCATAACCTAAATTTATGTCCCCAACACTCCATGAATGCACAACTTGCCTGGCAACTCTACAAGACCTATTCAGGTCTCAAAGTTCCAAAGCCTCATCTTGACAGTATTAATTACACTGTCGATCCCCATATGCTTCTTTCCAGACGTAATGCCATATACCGAACTAAACGCCACCCCATGCAAAATGACAATGCAAAACTATCGACTTCTCCATGAACGTGTCGCTTCGTAAGTGAACACTCCCACAACCACCTCTTGTTAAGAAATCTGCAGCCTCTTCGTGCTGATACTAATGCTGATGCCTCTCGAATCTTCTCTATAATACGATCTTTCCACATGTCTCCTGGGCCCTTTCTCATGAAGATACGCCAGGTAATCTCCTTCTTTCAATATCAGCATGACCAGCACTCCCACTTCGCGCACGCCCGGTCTCTGGTGAACTGCCGACTGTCTCCTGGGCGATCCATTCCAGCACAGCTTCGTAACACAAGACGAATTGCCTCAAGGTCTGTACCATGCTTAGGCGCTGACCTCGGAAATCTTCCACTGTCTTTTCAACGAGGTCAACATCTGTGTTGAAAATCCAATCCCCATCTACGGCAGCCGATGACTTCTTCCCCTTGCCCATGTAATCACCACCGCTAACAGTCATTCCCTCCATCGGTGTAACTCCACTTGTTATTTCTTTACGTTGGCGTTTCAACATGTCGATAACTGAATCGATTGTACAGAATGTTCCAGTGCGTCCACAGCCGGCACTGCAATGCACTAATATCGGTCGTGGTGATTGACTCATTTCAGGATCATCCGAACGCGGCGATTGTGTCGAGGACGAAGATATTTGTTGCATGTTATTGCAGAGCTCCACGAGACTGAGCAATTGATCTGCGCTTGCTGGAGCTCCAAAGTCAGGCCACGAGGAGTAGTGTACTTGGGTGATTTCACGCATGGGAGAGAAAGGGTGGCCAGAGTGAGCTAGCGTAAATTTTCTCACTATTGCAAACGGTACGTCTGGTGAGACAGGAGCTGGTGGAGAAGCACTTTCAGAAGTGGTGTTGGCTCTTCGGCGACCAGCCTCTGAGCGATCTGACCGTGGACGGTACTTGTCTGAAGAGCGCTGTCTTTTTGGGCGCAGTGATATCTTCTTTTCAGAGAGATTCTTGAGTTTCAATGAGCCGTAATTCTGCGTATTCCAATATGGATGGCACTTGAGCTGGCCACCTTCTGACTCAGCAGTCAGCATAACAATAACTCTAACGTCTTGATCCCAGATCACACTCCAGAAGTCCTGCGTCGATGTTAGCTCCATGATAAGCAAAGGCGTGCATATAAGACTTACCTCAAAGGTAGCAGGAAGAGGTCCTTGCGATGCTATATATCTCTTGTTGCTCCTTGATGGCCTAATGTGACTTGCGTTGACATAATCACAAGCATCGTTCGAGTCATGCTGAAGCTTTACTCTAGTGTGTTCGAATGGCCAGATGTTGTTATATCGATTCTTACCACCTTTCTCAATCCCAGCAATCTGGACACGTTTGGACTCCGCACCGGGCGTGCCGTATGAGACTTGTGAGGAAAGTGCTTTTTCCATTCTCGATTTTTCGGTTAGCTCCAGCTTTAGGAATTTGTCCGCCAGTTTCTTTCCGTGATCTTCCTTATCAGCAACCTTAGATAACCACGCCGGAAGAGGTACATGAGCTAAAGCTTCTGGAAGCTTGACATCCATCTGGCCAACTCCGCCAATCAAATCTGTGTTCTGTCGAATGTTGCCGAAGAAGGGATTTGCCGCGCTCTTGAACGCAGGCATGGCACAACCACCGGCAACTGGAGCAACATCAGGAGCCATGTTCATCCCCAACGACAGATTAACTTTTGACGGCTTTTCCTGGGTCGACTTTTTATCGATAAGCTGAGGAAAGTTTTTGGCTACATCTGTGAAGCCTCCTCGCACAATGTAGGTCTTACCACTCCAGCCTTCCGTAGCAAACTTCTTCAGAGTATTAACAGATGAGAGTGCATCCTTTTTGTCTACAGACGAGGCATCATAGACAATAATGTATTGAACACTTTTCCATTGCGAGAACTTGTCCTGATCTTCTGGATTGGTAAAGGTATCTCGAAGCTTGTCCAGGGTAAACGAGGGCCTTTTCAATAGGGTAGTCGGTATGCAGAGATTGAGCGCACCCCGGATACGGGAAATGGCAAACTGCGTAGAAACACGAAGGTCTAGTAAGAGATATTGTGACAGTTGTAGACTAGTTAATAGATCTCGAACCTGGGACGACGGGATCATCGATGGACCTTCCTCTAAAGCAGACGGTAGGGTATCGGCTCTATGATGTGAAAGCTTTGGCGGCAATCGTATCTGAGGAGAAGGAGGATTGGCCCTGTTTTGTGGTAACGAGAGCCGAGGATGTCTATCATCGAGGCGAGACAGGGCATCTCGCTGCGTGCTTGCTGGATTCATCGGCATCGGTGACTGTTGCCTTGGTATATCAAAGAATGATGGCGTACTTAATCCATCCTTCTTGCTCTCATTTTTATTCGAGGACTGCCCTTTGCCGTCGTCCACATCTATCCACTCTGGTGTGCCATCGTTCTGGGATGGTCTTAGTCTTGGAGGTATAGACACAGGAGTCTCGGGTCTCGTAGGTCTCCGGTCTGGTTTTGGTCGAGGTCCTGGGGTAGAGGCGAAATGCGACAGGTTTCCATGTCCCAGATTGAATCCCTTCGTGCCTTCGCTCTGTCTTCTAAACAACTCAAATTCGGGATTCGCGTTCAGCGGTATATGCATTGGTGTTTGAGTCCCGAAGGACGCGATTGAGGACGAGGGACTCCAGTTAGATTGCGGGCCAACTGCTGAGTTTCGGGGGTCGCTCGTCGGATCCACGATCATGCCAAAGTAATTAGGACTTGGTGTTTTGACCTCCGCGTGTGCTGCCGGCGAACCCAACAATGCTGAGTTTGGTGGCAATGCTTGGCCCACCGAAGGCGGTATTCGACTCGAGGAAGAGTAGGGTGTAGAACTTGTTCGTGGAGCCATCTTTGGCTGCGAACTTGAGTGTGAGCTCGAATGCAAATGCGAGTGAGACGACGTCGGCGTCGGTCTGGAGACTGTCTTGGGTACCATGATGATTTGGTGATTCGGGTTCAGGATGAGCCCGTTTCTTACTGAGAAGGAGACATGGCGAAGGCTGGAGGCGGAGAGGACAGTATATTGTTTTGTTCGAAGCGGTCGCGGGGCCGGGCTATGACGATTGTCTGGCGATGAACAGGCCCAAACTGGTGGTTGTATGTCGGGTATGTCAGAATTCGTAGGGGTTGGCTCTTGAGTAGGAGCGATCGACAAAGTCTCGAACGTCGAAGTGCACGCAACGTTTTGGGTTGAGATCCTGCAGCTGAACTGATTGTGGCTAGGAGCGACGGAGTGAGATGGCAGTCCGAATGTATTTGAGGGACAACAGGGACAACAGGGACGATAATACGGGCACAAGACTAGTTGAGAGGTTGACCCAGATGCCTGACGCAATATGTCAGCGGTTTGCTAGTGAGCCGTACGGTAGCGGATCGTGATCTTGTCTTGTCCTGTCAAAAAGGAGCGAAGCACCAGCACCAGAAGGGGGCAAATTTAAAAGTTGGTAAGAACCAAGGGGCTAGCGCCACAACAACACACCATATTTGTCGTTGAGTAATCCACCGCATTGCGACTGTTTTATTCATGCTTATTATAGGGTGCCTGCTTTTGAATCATTCCATTCATTCACTCTGGTAATCAGCTCTCCCTATGCAAAAGTACTTCGTACCAGTGGTTGTCCTTGTTTGCTCGCTACGGCTGGATACAGCAGACGCTGGTGTTTGACTGAGCCTCACGTCAGGGTTCTCACCGAGTGACTTGATGATGTCACGTCTCGTCTATGACGGAGCCGTGGGTGAAGCCGAGTTCCTTTCTTTGACAGCTGGGGAAGGCTGGTGAGGTTTCGGCTAACAGCTCTTCATTAACAATTCATTAATCTATATTCTAAGAAACATATGCTAGCGTGGACTATGTTGTTCTAGAACTCTTATTGAAAATATCCTGAGCAATAGAAGTGTGGGAGATTACCGTTGAGGTCCCCGAATCTTTAGGCTATTTTTAGCCTTCGACCGTCAACCAGTCCTTCGTATCTGAGGCTTCACTTGAATAAACAGTCGACTCTTTAACACCTCACTACTCAATACTCACTACTACTACGTCTGAGCATCTATTGAACAGAGCAACATCTACTTTGTACATCAGCAGCCTCGTGTCCCCGAAACCTCGCATCCCATCGTCACAATCGCACCGCATTATCAAGCATGCAGCAGAATATCTTCCTGGCATCTGTCATTCGAGATTCTCCCACGTCGTACCGCAGCATCCTATGACCCTCCTCCCTCACCACCGCCCTTCCAAACATCACCGTACAATCCAGCCGTACCTTATGGCTGAAAGGTCTAGACCGTCTGGACCACCAACTTCAAGCTGCCACAAAGAGATTCAAAGAATACTCAGCCTCTGGTCAAAAGGGTCATCGCAGCCCCAGACCATTCACCAGAACTACCTAGGTAATGGATCCTTACATACATCAAACACCGATGACCTCATTTGTTCACCTATATAGCCCAAGTTTGCTTATTAGTTAACAAGCTGCCTACCTACTTTGTAGATAGGTACCTAAGTAGCTCCCCATCTCCCATTCACGCATGCAACAAACGTATGATGTGAGATATCTGATTCAGAATCTGGACCCTTTGTGCAACCACATCCCGACTTTCCAAGTCATCGGAGTAGAAGACCGGCCTCCGTCCAAAAAGCTTGACAATTGGATGTTGGCCCCGTTGACAAAGTGATTGGAACGTCATTTGGCGTACAGCAGGGTTTATTTGGTGACAGCCCGAGTCCGAAAGAGTGGGAGGCGCACGTGAGCATCTATTTGTCGCATGTGAACTTTGAAGTCAGCCCTGGAGGTAAGTCCTCTACATGTGACCTCTACCTCTTCATTGTTTGCGAAAGGTATCTTGCAATTCGCAACAGTGTTTGACCAAGCTACTTTACTATTTAGCTTACTCACAACATAAGGTAATTTCAGTAAGCTTTCCGCTCTCCACTGACGCCATGTCTATCCAAAACCAGCATGGGCGACGGTCACCTGACTTGAACCATGTATTCATCTGGGGAATCCCCGCTTCTGAGATTACTCGTTACCTTACCTACTCCTTCCTCCTTCCACGCTCTGTTCTAATTGTGTTCTGCAGCACTCAAGTTGAAGCTATTGCGAGCCTTTTCTTTCTTCATCGTCTGCCGTTGCACAAACACGTTTATCTGTCCACGGCGTTTCCTATGAATCAACGCGACCGGCACTACTCGCCCTAAAGACCGTTGTGTATGCTGCCGCTCGGCAGACCAGTGTTGCCACGGCGCGGTCACTCAAAGTCAGATAGTGATGGCCTCGGCCGGCGGAGCCTCTTCTGGCACCCCCTTTCGTCCCAACTCCTTATCTTCTGTGGGTTCCTCGGTTCCTGGCTGCAGAAGCTTCACGTCCCGAGCATTTCTCGCATGTGGTTCGTCTGCGGGGTCGGCAGTTCCTATTGGATCGTGTTGGCAGATCTCGCCTGTTGCGGTATCAGAGAATCATCCTCACCAGCAAAAGTAACTTGTGTCGGGCAAGATAAGCTTAGCTTCGTACATCGTGGTGCTGAGCTCGAGTGAGCTTTGCCAAATCACCCGTGGAATTCTAATCTTTCCTTGGCAAGTGTCAAGGGAGTCTTGTCAGTAAGTGATGATTTGCGGATGAGATAGATGTTTAAGGTTATCTGGAGATGAAAACCTTGCAGAGCAGAGCAATGGTTTCTATAAACCAACTCGATATCCCACCCAGATATCTGCAGATCAGCTCCTCACATCACAAGAAGGTAACACTACAACTCCTACTTCATCGACAATCACAAGAGTAGCAAAGTCATAACACTTCACCATGGATGCCAAACGAATCTCGACCGAGTCGGGTTCCGACTCACCTCGTGATGTCAAAACTCCCTACATCACCGAGCCAGAATCCGAGATTCCAATATTCGAGGGATCAGCCGCCGTGGTTGATCATCACGCTGAGCGAGCACTATGTCGCAAATTCGACTATCGACTGCTTCCAGTATTGGCTGTCATGTATCTGTTTAACGCACTCGATAAGGGAAATTTGGGAAACGCAAAGACAGCGCATTTGGAGAGAGATCTAGGCTTCAAGAAGAATCAATACAACATCATCCTCTCGGTGTTCTACGTCCCATATGTGTTATTCGCACCGCCGCTGGGCTTGTTGGGAAAGAAATATGGCCCCTCGAGGGTACTGCCATTGATGATGTTCTCGTTTGGGTCTTTTACCATCCTGGCCGTGGCGGTACAGAACTTTGCTGGAATGATGGCTTTGAGATGGTTCTTAGGAATGGCTGAGAGTGCTTTCTTCCCACTTGTCATCTACTATCTCACAACCTTTTACCGAAGAGGAGAATTAGCTCGCCGTCTGGCCATCTTCTACGCTGCTTCCAACATTGCCAATGCATTTTCTGGACTTTTGGCTTTTGGCGTTTTCCACATCACAAACACACCTCTTTACCCTTGGCGATATCTCTTCTTGATCGAAGGATCTCTCACAGTCCTTTTCGCCGTCTTCACCTGGTTCTATCTTCCTCTAAACGCCGCCTCGGCGAACTTCCTTAACGAAGAAGAAAAGAAACTAGCCTTCCACCGAGTCCAAACGGATTCCTCCTCCACAGTCAACGAAAAGCTCAATCTCAAAGACTCTCTCAAAATATTCCTCCAACCCGCCTCCTGGGCCTTCCTCACCATCGAAATCTGTCTCGGCGTCCCCCTCCAATCCGTCTCCCTCTTTCTCCCCCAAATCGTCGCCCGTCTCGGCTACTCAACCGTCAAAACAAACCTCTACACCGCAGCCCCCAACATCACCGGCGCAGCCATGCTCCTCATCCTCGCCTTCTCCTCTGATTTCACCCGTCGACGAGGACCCTTCATCGTTCTAGGCTTCCTCTTCACCTTTTGCGGCATGATTATCTATACCGCCATCGACGTCCTCCACCACAAGCAAATCGCCTACTTCGCTACCTTTATGATGTGCTGGGGTACCTCGGCGCCTTCCGTCCTTCTCTCAACATGGTACAACAACAACACTCCCCATGAAGGCCGGCGCATCGTGCTCACCTCCGTCGGCGTCCCACTCGCTAACGTCATGGGTCTGGTCTCAAGTAACATCTTCACACCGGAATCAGCGCCCGAATATATACCTGCGCTAGCTACGACGGCGGCGTTTGGTGCGTTTGGCGCGTTGGTGGCTGGGCTATTGAGTTTGTATATGGTGTTTGACAATAAGAGGAGAGATCGGAAGTTGGGACGGAAACTTGATATCCGGGATGTGCCTACTGAGTTGCTTAAGGATGGTCCGAAGGTGCCTGAGTTTAGGTGGTTTTTGTGATTTGGTTTTGAGCGTAGATAAATATGAAAAGCAATGTTCTTGATTTTAGCGGGTTGTAGCGGAGACAACAGGTTGAAATACACTATGTTAAAGTGAACCGAGTATTTTGTGTCAAATGGTTAAAGTGAGCACCAGTGATTATCCACGCACTCCATCGACTGGACTCTCAATGCCACAGTAACGATTTGCAATTTTAAACGAGGAGGATTGTCAATGGATTTAGACGTGTAGCCTAGATAAGATTTTCTTCATTCTGACGTTGCGTTGGGGGGAGGATTTTTATTTTCTGTTACTAAATTGTGGAGAGAATAGATTCTTGTATTTACTTGTGGAGTATGATGAGTTACATGAGTAAGGTGAGTATAATAAGTAACCTACATCTAATGAGTAAACTAATTCTATTTAGCAAAGCGATTACAATCAAGTAAAATGAATTCCAATAACCAAAAGTGTCAAACAAAACGCCCCTGGTCTATCGACTTAAGCAAACTGACATAAAGATACCCCTTAAACCTTCTCCTTCGTAACAACCAATTCTGAAAAAATGGCGCAAGAAAAAGGGGTCGAGAAAAGACTGCCTGCCCTCTACCTTAACATCGGAGATGGAGTTTCACACTACGCACAGGACAGGTATATTTCGGTTGGACCCAGACAAACATTCGGTGGCACGTTCACGGACGTTCAGCGTACTAACGAGTCACTCCAATAACTCGTGAGTACTCGAGTATGAAATACGGAGGATAAACCACTCAAAACTCAACTGGTTCAATTGACGATCACACCTCACCTCCTTAAAGATCACATCACCACACTCACACGGCTTATAGGTTAATTTCATTTCTATTCGTCTCCCATCACTAGCTAATTATCAAAAAAGCCATGTATTCATAAAGTCATTGAAGAAGTGGTGGTGGTATCAAAAATAAAGCAAAATCCCAGTTCGCCTGTACGCCGCGCTTGTTGTCATGTGTTTCGTATCTAATGTGCTCGGTCGGTGAGAGAGCAGCCAAAATGTGTGGAGTTGATTGTGTCAGAAGGGTTGTAGAAAGGTTGGGTTGGAGTGAGATTCTGAGATATCTCAAGGTACCGGTGGAGATTTCGGCCCCTTTCTAGTCGTCTTGCATAGTATGTCTGAGAAGTATAGTGACGTTTCAGTTACTCAAGAGTCTCGAGTAGCCTGTAACGTCTCAGAGGTAGATATGTAGATTTTTCCGTCGGAAATGGTGCAGCTTGCCGCTATCAGTTTGTATCCAGTAGTTGACTTCGGATAAATATACTTTCAGTATTTCATCGCCAGTCGTCATCATACTCATCCATACCCTCGACAAGGATACAGACATTGACACATGCCGCATATGCTTCACGAATTGCACATGCCATGCTAAATCGACGGTCAGCGTAGTTTCAAAGTGATTTGTGAGATATTAACGAACCATGTCTTCTCTACATCCGCAACGACAGCACTCAGCCCCCAGTGACTACACCATGCTCTAGCCAATACCTCGTTATCAGCCACTCCAAACGCATTTACCACAAGCACCCTTTCAGAATCATCGTCACCAGTATTAGATACCGACTCTTGCTTTGATCCTACACTACCCGACCGACTGTAAGTGCCTCCCCAATCGCGGATATTCAGAATCTCAGAAACGTTAATTTCTTTGTAAACATAATCGAAGAAGAGTGGATGAGGGCCACGAGCACAAGGACACGCAAATATGAAGGAGACATCGTAGGTCAGTCTCAGGGGCCAAGACTTCCCATCAATGGCAAACTGTACGCAAGAATCGTAGACGAGTGGTCGTCCATCTGCTGCCGCACCTGGGGGGGTTATTGAGGCTGCTTTCAAAGACAGGGTTTCGACTCGGACAATGTCAACTAAGTCGTCTTCATCTGGGAAGAGGAGTTTGTACTCTTCGACCGGATAGGAGTCTGCTGGTGGTCCCAGAGGATCTGATCGTTCCATCATAGTTGTCACATCTTTAGGGGTTAGAACTTGTTTAGGGCGCCTTTGCCGAATACGTGCTATGCCTACACGTGGAAGATCCGCTGTTGGACGCACCGGGCCGACCCAGCCAGCGATCTCGCGACACGTTGGAGCAAGGACTTTGCCGACGATCGAAGTACTAGACCAGTAAGTCGTACCACGATATTGGAAGCCGCTGTTGGGGTGTATGTGTGTTAATGCTGCCAAAGCGTTGGCTTCGATGCCATCGTCGCAGTCGATGAGAGTATTCATAATGAGCCAAGGAAGTGTGGTTCCAGGTAGAATCATTCCTGTAAAGTATGACATAGCATCTGAGCTTCGATCCTCCAACCGTTCAGCATTTGGATCGAGTTCCCTCAGAGTTTTGTCAACTTGGGCAAGATTAGGCCATTTCATGGCTCGCGAAAATCTGTGCAACGACTTCACTTGAAGCTTTTTTGATTTCAGCCGAAATTTGACTACGGAATCGTTAGGTCAGATTACCGAAAAAGTAACTAAACTCACTTTCTTCAGGATTGGCGCCCGTAACGAACTTTTCGATTATCATAGATTCTCTCCATCTTCTTGCGAGAGCGAGATTCCAGGAAATAGATGGGGGAAGTTGTGAAAGCAGTTGCGCTTTTGCTGCTTCGCTATGCTGTTTGGAGTGTATTCTCAGGTCAAGTTCTATGCTAAGTAGCAATTGGTGAAAGAACAATTTGTACCTCCCGTGATCTGTATATCCAGCATTCGCGAAGAATTTGGCTACAACTTGGTTTCCCGGTTTGCTGAAATCTATCCATTCGCGGCGAGAAAGCACAATGATCAGGTCGGCAATTTGTTTCTCCATGCCCTTATGTGGACTTAACAGCTTGTCCGGGTCTTTGAGCAATTTCTTATAGAGATTAGTATACATCAGGTCTTCGTAGTCTTCTTCAAAGCCCCCTTCAAGATACCTTAACCGATCCAATATTGTGGAAAGCTCAACTTCTCGGGGCCGCATGTCTGGTTCTCTCAACTCAATAGGTGGACTAGGATTTCCAGATAACCCCACCCAATAAGTAAGTGTGCATGTTCCCGGTCTTGGACCATAACAAAAGGCCATGCTTGGTTGCTCTAAAGTTTCCCATGGGTGCTCAGCAGGTTCGGGGCCTTGGAGTCGGAATGAGTTGACCGTATATCTCCCATTAAATGGCTCACCACAATCGGTCCCTGCAGGTCCGTTTCCCTCACATACCGCGAATAGATTGTAATACTCTTCAGAAGAATGTGCTATTGTACGTCTGCTACCCTTAAACGCCGGCGCCCCATTTGCGATGAGTTCCATGGCCTTTCCCTGTGAGAGGGCATCACGACGCAGGCCTGCTGGGGGCCATTCCGTCAGAGGAGCTGGGTATGAGATCGGAGGCACTTGGCTTGCGATAGACATCCGACGACCGTCCCCTTCTTCTTCTCTACGACGTCGATCATCCCGATGCCCATCTTTGTGCCTCTCTCTGTGACCCTCGCTGCGTCGTTCTCGGTGCTTGTGACGGCGCTCTCCCTTGGACGGTGGTGAAGCTTCGCTGTGCGACCGCGGGGAATGATCTCTTCTATGGCTGCTAGTTGAGGGTCTCCGGGTAGACCTACGATCATCTTCATACTAAAAATCGGAGATTAGCACATGCGTTTCCCAGATAATTTGGAGTGGGGGATGGGTACATCTGGGGAATCTTTGGACGGCCTCTCCGAAGTGCTTCGACTCCGAAAGAGACCCAGTAACTTCTTCTTAGCCTCACTCATGGTACCGTCTGGGTTTTCATCGATTCCTCGGTGAGTTTGGCGATAAGTTATAGAAGTTGAAGCGCGTCGTGGGTGCGGCTGCGAGGCTATAATGTCTCAGAACATTCGTGGTGGGCTGTGGGACTGGGTGACCCCTCCACCTGAGAGTGGCGTCCACGTCCTGTCACGGCAACAATAAACATAATCTTCGGTCGCTGGTCCTGAACGTTGGCCGAAGAGATTCCAGTTTCCACGAAGACGTGAAAGTTCCATAAGATATTATGTGTTGCAAAATGACTGGTCTGGATCGCTCAAAGACTCGCACTTGGACCATGGTTGGGGTCCCGAGGCATGATATCCTACGAATTCGGCAGACCAAGAAACTCATGTACTGTAACCTTAACAAACATGGGGCCGGCAAATGCTTAAGTGCGCCTGATGACCATCTCTTCCAGCTGTGCATGGGTCTTTGCTTTAAATACCACTCTTCTCAAGGTTTCGTCAGCCTGGTAGTCGTAGTCTATTACAGTCACAGTTCTTGCTCACCCACCAAATCGCATAGTGCTATTATCCCTAGCTCACTTCCAAACCTTTTGACACTCCTGTTATAGACCACAGACCCAGAATGATGTAATTTGTCGATCGACGGTACGCTTTTCTGGTATAGCGTGCTTATAGGTGGACCAAAAAAGTGTCAATCGCAAAGAACATATTTGGGTAGTCGACACTAACACAAAGTTGAGTATTGAGTCTAGTATTCTGACTTAACAACCATGTTATACCCTCTGCGAATCTGTCAAGCCGACTCAGTCTTTATGTATATTGACACAGAAGCAAAGTGAGTGACAATCTAGTCAACAAGGATTCTCATTTATTTTAATATCCTCCTAACATGCGTTCGGTGAAAATTGTTCTATCATACATTACGAGCATATTAATACTATGTGCCCACCTAAAATACAACAACGAGCTGAGAAAATTGAAGAGCAATATGATTTCAGTAGTCTGTTTCCGAGATAATGTTCGAACCTATTCCACTCCAAAACGCCAACGCTGGTATGAAGATAATATAAATGACGAAAATCTTTATCCTCACACCTTCTACGACTCAAGATCCATTGTTGCTATGAAATGCCATGCCCGAATTTCGCTTTCCGATGGTCTTGAAGCTCCCGCCTGCTTCCATGATGTCAAATCTGCTTGTGCCCATCGTCTCCAAATCGGTCATGCCGGAAAGGTAAAATCCGACGATGACCACAAGATAACTAAGGATAAGTATGGAACCCTTGAAGTAATTGCTTTTTCCCTCGCCATACATATAGCTAAGAAGGAAAACGCAGAGGATGACCGTGACCATATCCCATTGTGGGAAGATAAGGCTGAATGAATAGTCCGCAACGTCCGGTCCCGTAAGCCATTGTCCTGTGATGGCACTGAATAACACAAGGGCAGGTATCTGCAGTAAGCAGACCTGCAAAGCATAAGCCGAACCGATTTCCATTGACAATGCAATGTTCCCATTCATGGCGAACGAGATAGCGTTCTAATATCAGAGTCAGTGCATGCGGATAACATGAAACTGCAAGGGACTTACCAGGAATTCTGTCGTGTTCGGAACAAGGGCGAACAAGGTGATACCGAGGAACTTCTCGTCAATGGCCACGTTTTTCAACACCACGTCTACCGTATTGACCAATATCTCTGCAATAAGAGCATATAACACAGTAGCCCCGCAAAGAATGACGGAACTCTTCATTCTGCTCCAATTTGGTGCATCATGACCACCGCCAGCCGCTGCTTCGATTTCCACAACGGGTGGTTCATCATGTATTGTCTGGAGCGTCGCTGTACGTATCGCCGGTGGTTTGTGTGCAGATCTATTTGCGGCAATTGAGGTTTTCCGCGGAGCAGAGCTAGCATCCCGAGCCGCAATAGTAGCAGCAGTCGCTGCCATCTCGGCAACCTCCCTGACAAGACTTGTGTTCTCGGACTCTGAAAGTCCAGGAATACGTAACTCCGATCTAACACTATCACCGCCGCTGCTTTTCGGTGGCGGAATATGGGGAGTTCCCGAAGAGCCATTGATCACTGGGCTCGATACGTTCGGATTTCCATCATCTTTGATACCCAGGCCAACCTGTTTCAACGATTGTCCCAGGATACGCTTATACAGCTGCGAATCACGAATTTCAGCTCCTCGTACATCATTCGAGCTATTATGTGCACTGCTGTGGCGTAGGGACCGCGATGGGTGCCCAGTAGAGTGGTGCTGTTGTGAGCTTGACATAGACATGTGGAGATGCTCATGTGTTTTCTTCTCGTCTGCTTGATCATTCCATATAACAGCAGCATGCGTTCGGAGAGTAAACCATAGGCCTATGATATATGATAAGAAGAGAAGAACAGCTGCGAACCAGCAATATGGCCGAACTGCCTCGAGATAAAAGCGATCGTTGAGAGCTGGAACTTGAGAGAAATAGCATCTTCTACAGTCCCGACTTGGTGATTCATCGTCGGTATCAACACAACTGAGACAATTGAGTTCATGCTGCAGGAAATATCAGTATGTCGTAAGATGACGAAGTTTGTTGGGGAGGAAAATTACCGTGCCATATATTTGGTAGAATAATGTAGGACCAAATGCAGCAATAACAGCGAACAACAACATAGTGGATGTAACACCAGCTGACTTTACGTTGAAACGTTGTGTCTTCCGCTTGATCGCGCCGAAACACATTGAAAGTCCAGGGAGGAAGAGTATACCAGCGAAAATACTTCCAATGATACTGCCCTCCACCAGCTGTCCCTTGCCTTGGTTGAGAGCCACACAGTATAGAAAGACCTCTACCAAGGTGGAGAAGAAGGCATTGATTGCAGCACCAAGACCCATTGATGACTGGGCGGAAATCGATGCTACGGCCTGTCCGATAAAGTACGCGAGCGGTATAATCGAGAATAGAGCAGCAATGAAGAGAAATGCCGGACCGGTGATGATTGAACTGAATTCGAATACCTCGACTAACACATAATAGTCAAAGATGACAAACATCACTACCCCCATTAGATTGATGAGAAAAATGTTAGTACCATCAACTGTATATTTCCAGTATTTAGACCCAACGGCGCGATAGGTGCACAGTAAGATTGACGAATTAGGGGCGCTGCCACTTCGAGAGTAGTCGGTATCAGATTCGAATGAAAGAGCCAATGGATGTCTTCGGAGGTGAGAAAACAGTAATACCGTTACTTTCCCCATTGGAATCCAGAAGACGAGAAACCAGCAAATTAGGGAAACGAGCAAGAGGAGAGGCGTGATCAGTCCATAGAAGAACATAAAAAAGATGACACGGCCGATATTCCACTGACCACGCCCGAAGAGTCTTCGCTTGGATGGCATGATAGAAGATTCCCGTGTAGCACCTCGAGTTCGTCGGCCAAGCAGACTATCCGTCTCGCTGGCATATGAGTCGATGCTTCGCCTAGAACGCCCGACGATAGAACGACTTCCCTGAGGACCAAAGAAAAGGCGTCCATCCTCAATGTCACCACTCTGCCACTGTTCATACTCGGTAATACTTCTCCCTTCCCCTTCATCCTCGTGGGCGTAGGCTTCATCCTGTTCCAAGCGTACGAACTTTCCAAAGGGATAGAAAAGGTAGCCAGCCAGACCCCAAAGAACGCGACCGTATTCTAGAGCACTTGGAGCAGCTGCGAAGGTGAAGCAAACAACCGCACCAAGGAAAGCAGCTAGTCCTAACCACCATCCGAAACATACTGTCCAGACGACGTTGAAGAAAAGCAATCCGATATTGACCCTGCCTCCAGGAGAAGAGTGGATGTCCCCCTCTGCGGTCTTTTGAACCGATCTGCTCTTCTTGTATAACGCGGGTTTCCATATCCGAATACCAAAAGGATGTGTCTCGTTTATAGCCTCTTGTCTGTCCTTCAGCGTGAAACTCTCCGCATCGCTAAGATCATCGTCGTCGTCCTCCTCCTCGTCCGGGGTAACGTCCTCTATTTCACGCAGTGTATCCTCCCCCGACTGTGGAGATTCATCTTCAATTGCGCTCTCCCCTTTCAAACTGGCTCTCTCTGCCTGAGTTTCTGCTTCTGCTTCCTCCTCGTCCTCCCGAGAAGAATTGACCCGTGGTAAATTCGGCTGCTGTGTAGCACGACGTCTCAACGTTGAAGATGGTTGGTGTCGGACCGTGCCGGCTTGCCGTACTTTAGCTCCTTCGATTTCCGTCACATCATCATCCACAGAGAACTCCTGTCCCCGATGAGGTCCTTGAACATTAGAGGAAGCTCGACGAGGCATAGAGGGCTTCTTTGGTCGCTGTCCACCTCTCCCACGTTCTGGGCCTAGCAGCGGTGATCGAGAGATCTGATTTATTGATCGAGAGGAGTCTACACTAAGTGTTTGGGGACGTTCGACGGCGGAAGTAGGTTCGCTGCGATCGTTATTGTTCTGAGAAGTGCTCGGCGTATGGATAGACCCTAAGTAGCAAAAAGAGTGTTAGTATTTTGGGATCAAGGTTACGTGCCACCAAATAAAAATAGTTTGAGGGATTCGGGATTTATGTCAACATACCGTAGGACTGCGGTTCAGGCCGCCTCCGCACTGTGTCCGTCGACTGATAGCTACTTGGCGTTCCATCGTCGGGTTGCGAAGCAGATGCGACGATTGAAAGAGGATGTCGAGCATCGAGAGGAGATGTGGGGATTGACATGTCGCCGGCGCTCTGTAAGTTTCTCGCGCCAGATGCGCTATTGTCTTGTCCGGATGCCATCTTAGAGTTACCAAGTCACAGCGCTCATGAAAGATTCGATATTGAAGTTATTCGGAATGGTGGGGAGATTACTCGAAGGTAAGCTTGATTGGCGCGTATGTGCCGACTTTATCGGCAACTTGTGCAGTCTTGAACTGGCACTGCGGATTGCAGAATCCACGAACGAGAGAAATAACGCACTTGATGGGCTCAATATACGAGGCATGAGAGAACGAGAACAGAGAAGACAGTCGCAGAAAAGTAAGCTGGTGTATCGCCGTTAAGTACGACAGCCACGTGTGGAGAAACGCAACAGAAAGGTGGTAGCTGTCGATGATGGCGGTATTTCTGCTCGTCCAGAATAATCCACCCTCACCATGCCATGTGAACACAAACAAAGTCGTGGTGTTGGACTGGGGGTATGGACAGAAGCTTTGACTTGTCCGGGTGGCTTTAATTATGGAGTGCAGCTGCACCAAACCGACTGTGGTTGGTTCGACGTCGCCCAAGATCGTCTCACAGCCTCAGGCTCACGTGAAAATAAAGCCAGGCATTTACTCAGCCTTCTATGGCTTCCACTAGAGAGAGCAACGCGTAGCTCGACAGCCTGTCTCGGCAACTCTACTCGTCGACTTTGTACCTCCGTAGACCTTCCTGGCGGCAACAACGACTTTCCCCAGCACATCTCCTTCATCATATCGCTCTCAACACCGACGATCCCCATCACCTCGCCTCATCCTCCATCCATTGTCGCGCAGCCGCAACCATGGCGCTGGATAGCTTCTTTCACAACAAGATCGAGAGCATGAAGCTCGAGATCATACAGGGCCAAGCTGTTCTACGAAGACTGGAAGCTCAGAGAAATGACTATAACTCAAGGGGTAGGGGGACTGGTATGCGCATGTCAGTCTCACCGCTAACTTGCGATAGTGCGACTGTTACGAGAGGAGCTGGGTCTGCTACAGCAGCCAGGGTCGTATGTGGGAGAGGTGGTAAAAGTCATGGGGACAAAAAAGGTCCTCGTGAAGGTGCACCCAGAGGGCAAATATGGTAAGAGCAGATTAACGTCCCTTTTGGGTCAGACACTGACGATGATGTAGTCGTCGATATTGCAGATAGCGTTGATATCACAAAACTTGTTGTTGGCAAGCGTGTCACCCTGCTTTCCGATTCTTACAAGCTCGAAAAGATGCTTCCTTCCTCGGTCGATCCCCTGGTATCTCTGATGATGGTAGAAAAGGTACCTGATAGCACATACGACATGATTGGTGGTTTGGACCAACAGATTAAGGAGATCAAAGAAGTCATTGAGCTTGGATTAAAACACCCAGAATTGTTCGAGTCGCTGGGTATAGCGCAGCCAAAAGGTGTGCTTCTCTACGGCCCACCTGGAACAGGGAAAACGCTACTCGCCAGAGCTGTGGCACATCACACCGATTGTAAATTTATCAGAGTTTCTGGGTCTGAGTTGGTGCAGAAGTATATTGGAGAGGGTTCGAGAATGGTTCGAGAATTGTTCGTCATGGCAAGAGAACATGCACCATCGATCATCTTCATGGACGAAATCGATTCCATAGGATCGTCTCGTGTCGAAGGTTCATCTGGTGGAGATTCAGAAGTTCAGCGGACTATGTTGGAACTGCTCAATCAATTGGACGGATTCGAGCCTACAAAAAACATCAAAGTCATTATGGCGACAAATCGACTGGATATTCTGGATCCTGCGCTGCTGCGTCCTGGACGTATTGACCGAAAGATTGAATTCCCACCGCCAACCGTCGAGGCTAGAGCAGACATTCTCAGGATCCATAGCAGAAGCATGAACCTCACCAGAGGTATCAACTTGACGAAGGTTGCTGAAAAGATGAATGGTTGTTCGGGGGCCGAGCTGAAGGGTGTGTGCACAGAGGCGGGTATGTACGCCCTGAGGGAACGTAGAGTTCACGTCACACAGGAAGATTTTGATCTAGCAACGGCCAAGGTATTAAACAAGCATGATGACAAGGAGACGTCGATAGCCAAATTGTGGAAGTAGGGTGGAAGCAGTCAAACGACATGTACAACAGACAAATGGATACATCACATCCACGGTGATCAAAATTCCGAAGATACTGGTATAATTGTGGTTGGTTGGCCAGGTCTTCATTTGGTGCAGTACTGCTCTTCCAAAACCCCCCCGAGCGTCGGAGCTCGCGTAGAGTGATGCATCCACAGTCGATGTCACGATGGTGATTTCAGCTGAGAAGTCCAATCATCCGCTATCGTGAATCGATAGCTAAACGCTCACCGCTTAGAATGATGCTGCTTTCTGCTCAGCGCCTAGTATTAGGTGGGATGGCTGTAATTGTATTACCTCTACCACTTGTCATATTCTTTTCCCAATTTCTGTTTGCTGTCATTCAATAACACGCACATTCGTCCTTTCTTTCTTCCCCTGGTGACAGGAATGGCTCAATCGACGCAAGTACAGCATTATGTCGTGGTCGCGATAATCATCTCTATCACTTCCAGTTTTGGGTCGGGCTAGGATGATTAAGCATCGTGACATTTTCAATTGGAGACGAGATGTTCAAACGGTTGTCGGGTCTTTCCCACTCGGCAAAGTTGCCATGTCATCCCGTCGTGCCCAGCCGTCGTACTTCCACGTTCCTTCGCATGTTTCTGTTGATCGTACAGACTAAGTCAATGATACCGACGCCCGCGTCGATCGAAGCGCGCCACGCACTTATCTAAGCTTATTTGTCCAAATCCGTACATCGAGGTTAGGTTGCGTTTTGGCACGATACTACCTACATGCTGGCAACCTTTGTTTTCTTTTTCCCCTTCTGTTGGATATCTAGCGTATCAAACTCAAAGTTGAGTCCCAGACGGAATCTGACGGTCGGTGGTGTTGTTGCTGTCAATTTGCTCTCACCTATAACTGGGATATCATTTCTCGATTCGAGGTAGGGTTGAAAATGGATCATTGATTACTCCTTCGATGGCAGACGGTATGGCCCAAACAGAGCGTATTTGCGCGCTGCTGAAAATGGGGGACGATGCATATTTGTGGGTTCTATGACGTGTGGGGGTCCATTGAGGGCCATGGAGAGGTGAAAGTCAATACCAGGGACCGATCAGCAAAAAACTGTTGACTGGAGCTCAAAACATTTTCCTTTTTCTTTTTCAACACTTCATTTCACGAATTTCGTAAATCACGAAATCTTGGGAAGGTTTGAAAAACTGTATCAAAGCACCAATTGTCCGACCCACTCACGAGTAATAGAAGCTCTGTACACAACCCCGCCATCTCAAATACTTCGATTTTACTTCACTCCCCAACGCCTCAACAGAGGTTAATTGTCAGTTGGCTTCTTGGTAATGTACGATTTCTTTTTGCTGAGCACCTGCTTGTTTCTTGACGCGTCTCCTTGGAGATGGGTGGAAATATTTCGTCCAACCATTTACACCAAATTACCCCGCGCCAGCCACATTACCACAAATAACAGCGAACGAAAAGAAGAGCCAGGCACGCGCCAATTGAAAAATCCTTGCTGATACAGCATGAATAGCACGCCTGAATTGTCATCATGGCACAGATTCCGTTCCGTCAGAACTTCAGAAAGCCTTCGAGACAGGCAAGCATAGAGTGAGAGCTTCGTCCTACAAAGCAAAACTGCGCTCCTGGATTCATCAACTGACATGAATTCTTTTACCTACAGTCCTCATAATGATCTCAATCCCCATATCGATCATTACATTGGTATTGATGTTGGTACCGGTAGTGCCAGAGCCTGTATCATAGACTCGTCTGGGGACATCAAAGCCTGTCAGTACCTTTCTTTATTTACTATATTTTCGAGACGAGCTCCTACTGTAACAATGCCCAAACTTAGATTGCCATGACTAACGAAGACAAACGTCTCTAGTGGCCACAGAAAACATTGGCTTATGGCAACCCGAGACCGGATACTATGAGCAGTCAACAACAGATATTTGGAGATGTATCTGTAACTGCGTGCAACGAGCATTGAGCCAACATAATATCGACCCTACTACAGTTAGAGGCATAGGCTTCGATGCTACCTGCTCCCTTGCAGTTTTCGCCCATGACACCGATGAGCCTATGCCCGTTACGGGGCCCAACTTCGCCAATGATGGAAACGACCGCAATGTCATTTTATGGCTTGATCACAGACCAGTTGAGGAAACAGAGAAGATCAACGCTACCGACCACAACCTGCTGAGATATGTTGGAGGTAAAATGAGCATTGAGATGGAGATTCCAAAGGTTCTGTGGTTGAAGAACAATATGCCACCTGAGATGTTTGACCGATGCAAGTTCTACGATCTTGCAGACGCGTTGACTCATTTGGCTACTGGAAATGAAAATAGAAGTTTCTGTAGCACAGTCTGCAAGCAGGGCTACGTACCCGTAGGTGTAGATGGAAGTGTCAAGGGTTGGCAAGAGGATTTCTACGAGACTATTGGCCTCGGAGATCTTACCAAGGATAACTTCATCAGAATGGGTGGAGTAGACGGGGTGGTGAGCCCTTTAATATATTCTTAGCTTGAGGAAAAATATACTGACGTACGTAGAATGGAAAATATATGAGCGCTGGTGAGCTCGTCGGTACATTGAGCGAGAAAGCAGGTTCCCAGCTTGGTCTACCAGCTGGTATTGCAGTAGGAAGTGGTGTCATTGACGCCTACGCTGGATGGGTAGGAACAGTAGGAGCGAAGGTAAATCTCGCTGCTGGCCAACTCGAACACGGGGTGCCAAAGAACGACATGTCTCAAGCATTTTCTCGTCTCGCAGCCGTCGCAGGAACATCGACCTGTCACCTCGCTATGTCAAAGGAGCCCGTCTTCGTAGACGGAGTCTGGGGTCCATACCGAGATGTGTTACTTCCAGATTTCTGGATGGCAGAAGGTGGTCAGTCCGCTACGGGAGAGCTTCTGAAACACGTCTTGGAAACACACCCAGCATACAACGAGACCATGTCCATGGCGGAATCCTTCAACACCTCAATCTACGACTACCTAAACTCTCATCTTGAAGAATTGAAAGAGAAAACCGGAGCCCCCACAGTCTCTTATCTAGGACGACACTTCTTCTTCTACGGGGATCTCTGGGGTAACAGATCCCCAATCGCAAACCCCAACATGACAGGATCCGTAATCGGTCTCTCCTCCGACAAATCCATCGACGGTCTTGCCATCTATTACTACGCAACCATGGAATTCATCGCCATGCAAACACGTCAGATCATCGAAACAATGAACACAGCCGGCCACAGCATCACCAGCATCTTCATGTCTGGGTCGCAGTGCCAGAACAAAATCCTCATGGAGCTCATGGCCACGACCTGTTCCACACCCGTCATCATCCCACGATACGTGCACGCGGCTGTGGTCCACGGCGCGGCGATGCTCGGTGCGAAGGCAGCGAGTGCGGATAAGGATGGCAAAACGGAGGATTTGTGGAGTATTATGGATAGGATGTCGAAGCCGGGACGCGTTACGAGACCGGGGACGAACAAAAATGAGCAGAAGTTGTTGGATGTTAAGTACGAGGTTTTCTTGGAGCAGTGTAAGACTCAGCAGACGTACAGGAGCCAGGTTGATGAGGCTATTGGTGGGTGGAGTGCTTAGATGTTTGCCGTGGGGAGGAAAATGTTCGGGTTGTATGGTAGATAGATTGGTTGTGTGGAAGGAAGGGTAAAAGCGATGTCGTCGTATAGATCATGATAGACTTTCTTTTGTGCCTAATTCAGCTTATCTGCCATGTTATCAAGACATCCTCGCCTGAAATTTTCTACAGAAGTACGAACTACCAAGATATCACTTTCCAAACTCATCGAAACCAGCGACGTCTATGTTTTCAGCCTGTGTTCCGCCTCGACGATTCATCTTTGAAATACACACCAAAGTAATATCCAACAGCCAACTTCCATGAGTAAACGCTAGGTAAAACCAGCTCATCTAATTTCTCCCCTGGAAACTTACGCAAGATCTTCCCATGCTCACATCAAACACACTCAATTTTTTTCGGCAGAAACTACTTAATACACCCAATCAAATAAACAATACAACACCATCACAACTCAAGAATTGAAATCTAGCCACACATCTTCTACCCTTCCAACTCACCTCCAACCCTCGATACTTGTCAATGTGACACCCTAATCCTTGAAATATCTAGACACACATATACCTTTTTACCCAAAACGATCGGCATCATATTGTGTTAGTATAGTGTCTTTCTTAAATTTATCCCGTCAAACAACTAACATATCTCTAAAACATGTACGCGGAAATAGAAAATGCAATGTAGAATATGAGTTTCACGGGCGCCGAGTAATACTTTACTCTGAACAAAAAACTTGATGTCTGACGCTGCTAAATATATGTTACGCACTATCTAGTATACAGAAGAACCAACTGTATCTAGCTACTACAGGACACATTCTCCGTTCTAGTTGGCGGCACCAGATCTGGATGTCTAGGTAGATGTAGGACGCTACTTATTCGCTACAGCTGTATGGTTTCATGCAAGTTATAGTAAATTTAAACACCCTCTGAAACGATCGCAGAACGTGGTGTTAAGATGTATACCGCTCATTGTTGGATTGTAATCAGGGTTTCAGTTACCACCCAAAACAAAAACTATACATGCAATTTGAATAATACTTTCATCGAGATTTGATGCCGGTCTGAGTAATATGTCGAGGTGTTTAAGTTAAGCACCTTTCTGCTGAAGCTGACAGTGGTTGATCTTGTCTCGGTGTAAAAGACGCCCTATATGAACAAATCTTTTCCTTTCACATGTGTAGGAGTAGAATGAATCCTGGCAGCCTAGGGATCGTCTTTTTCATTTGGAATCTCTACTGATTCTCGCCTCAGCGCAAGCCCCCATCGCAGTCTGCCAATGGACTATTCATCTCCCAGTCATCTCACGCGTTTTCAGCATGAATCTTCTGTTCCCCAGCCATCTGCACTTTCCGGCCCGAACTCATCTAGGTAACAACATCCTACCAGTCCCTTACAAAAGTTTTCTTTGGGAGCGGATCGACTGTGGGATATTGCAAAGCGGTGTATCCATCGCCGTGAAAACAAACAAGAAACTCATCATCAACATTCACCTCCGTTATCCTAATACCAGGTTCCGTTTCGACCCAAGGAACACGCTTTGTCGAGGGTAAAGAGCAATTTTTCACGCAATAGATATTTTCGGTACGGTAAGTATCACTTTCGCGGTCAAGAAATTCATGATCGTATAGATACTGATCCCGCCAAATTGTATGTTTTCTGCGTGAGAAGTGATATCCAAGAAGGTGAAATGTAGCAGTACTCCAACGGCGACTATGTATATCGAATTTGAGTATGACAAATGGCTGTATTGTTTGAGGGTTTGGACTTCCTGCAACACCATTGATACGGAGCTCAGGAGGGGCGAAAGTATGTGTACATGGTGAACACTTCCGACGTGCTTGCTGACCTAGAGGACTTATAGATTCAGTTATTGGGTCAATGTCAGCTAATAACGTGGTGTTATCACCCGGTATCTTTAAGCCAATGCATCCGTCTTCAAGCTCGACCAGTTCGACACCCAAGCCGCCGATTGTGTAATCAACACTGACAACGAATTGATGAGCTGTGGTAGCTTTCCCACTTTCGTATTCCTGCAGAATTACTTGAAACTCTCTGGTCTTCGCAGAATGATTGTGGGTGGTGGCTATCATCACTAAGTAGCAGCGACTCTCATCGTACGGGTTAAAGTATAGACGAGAATCCACCGGACTTGCTTTCTCGAGCTTTGCACAAGCTGGAGAGAACTTCAACTGGCTCAGGCAGCCACCTATATTCCAAAGAAACACTTCGCCTGGTTGCGTAATGATACCTACCTGCTTGCCGGATGCTGTAATCGATCCTCGACTGTTACTAGTAAACGAAGGTAACTGAATAGTACTAGTCTGCATGGTTGAGTCTCTTTCTAATGGTATAGCTAGTAATCGGCGACTAATAGCGGTTAGCAGATCATTTAAAGGACAAATGACATAGGCCGGTCTTCAGCTGTACTCAACCTGAGCAACATAGAGTAGCCCAGCTTGTTGCTCGAAAGAATTAAGCGTTGAGTAATTTTACTACTCAGACACAGTGACAAAACAACATGATGTTCTCCAACGGCTAAGTGCAAGTAGGTGGTCGGGTAAAGTGCGCGGTTGAAAGGGATATGATAAGAAAAGTTGTTTTACTTACGGCCCCCAACTTGCAATCTTGACTATTAGGAACTGGTCGAATAATTTCCACTCGTTCATGGGTTCTCTATTATCTTCTCGCAAGTGGATTTCGATCCCGGTGCGGAGGTTTTTGACAGCGACCGTTTGCGCATCGTAATTGTATGCAATCCTGCCGCTACAATATTCGGTACGAGAACTATCATACACTGCGAGCAATGATGGGCCTGTTTTACGCTCTCCATGCAATACTGAACAGTGGTGCCCGTTGGTTCTTTGAAGCCGTTTCAGCACGGCCCGTGGGAGCCAGTCAGCAAGAATTTGGCTATCATATTCAAACGCGTTCCAGTAAGGGCGAAAGAAGTTTTTTGTGAATATCGAACAGATCTCAGCAGTGGAGAAAGTGTCATTCCATCGATGCGAAACGGCCCGGATACGCATAAAATCCTCCAGTTCCAGATAATCGACAATGTGAATTAGGAGCTCTGTCGGTAACGATACGAAATCTTTCGTGAATTTGAAATCTAGAAGGCGCTCTTGCAAGAAGCGTATCTCATTTCTGTTGATGCTGTTGAGCAACCTTTCTAATCTGAGAAGTATTAGCGAATCCCCAAAATTCATCGTTCGTCGCTAATGGACGACGGATGCGAAACCTTGAGGCATGATGTGCTGAAGCTATGCTAGCGCTAGTGAGATTGGTTGAGTACAAACAATGAAAGTGAGAGAAACTAACTATAAGGATGTTCATGGAGATGTAAAGAAGCTAGCTGCATTAGGATTGGAGGGTTAACTTGAATCAGATATGCTCAGTCAAGCGTTGGTGCGAGTCCAATGATACAGCATGTTTTATTCACACAGTGTCGCAACCATTCTTGGGTGTATCCTAAAGACTGGTACATTTGGAGCGCAAGGTGTCCATATCACCCCGAATCTACGCAATTGAAATGGTGACCTTCACGATGGGACATAGAAGCAAGAAGGTTCGATGGATAAGCCAGATTAGGACCAAATTAGTTATGTAACATCGCGAGATTCTGAGACGCGCGTGAAAGAAGAGAGAGTATATCTTGTCTTCTTACTGTCTCAGTGGTGTATCTTACGAGAGTTGACCACTTGGTCCCCTAGCAATGATGGAAAAGAGACAGAAACAACAATTGTTGAGCGATATATTGTTAAGAAGGAAAGCAAGGGGATTACGATATCTTCTTGCGCGATGTAACAAGAAGGCTGAAAGACACACAAGTAGCAGACTAGCATGATGAAGAAGCGGATGAACTTCGCACAAACAACCCAAATACAGTGAACACCCACTCAACGCAGTATTTGCTCCAAGGGAAACTATTTTCCCTTTTGTAAAGGGGTTGACAGCTTCAACCATGAAAGATTAATCAAAAAATGAAAGATTGACTTACGCTTCACGTCGTGCCACAACATCTGGCATGCCATCTTCCAAACGTAGCGAATCGAGAGCCTTGGTGACATCCATCACATTGGATAATTCGATTAGATCGCTAAATGCGCAATTGATGATGGATAGAATAGAACCATAAGGAGTGCTTAGTCTAACAGAAATGGTAATTTGAGGTAGACGGCCAACGCCTACAGTGAAGTGATTTCGAGGACGTCAGAGGATCAATTTTCGATCAGGAGCACTAGTGTCTCGCGTGACTCGTTGGAATTGCTCCGTGTAGCATTGGGTTTGTTGAAGGAAAATAATGATGAATTTCGAAAGGTGTTTTAGTTGATGGATGGTTGTCGTTGGTCGAGGTCGATTTAGGGTTTGATGCCTGAGGCTGACAAATACCGAATCATCTTTACATCTATGTGACATGTCTCCTCCAGACAGCATAGTTTGGTAGAATCCGACAGAAATAGTGTTTCATGTTGGATACTGCGCAGGTGGCTTTTAATATGAATTGTAGAGCAATCTAAGGTACATCTTTTCCTTGTACTTTGTCAACCATGTATCGCATTTGTTTATTATGTTGCAGTTCGAATATCAATTCTGATACACGGTCTCTTTCCAATGAACAGTCAATTTCAACGTGGGGTAGTCACCCCCGAATTTTCGATTGTGCTTGAAGCGTCTATTCAGCCTGGTCGATCAAGCCTCCGAAGACTCAGTACGAAGTATATTGATCTTGCAGGTTGAAGCAATATATGCTTCTCCACTAACCCGGCTGGCCAAACTTATGTTGGCTCAATCCGGGAACCTGAGAGGCCGGATTAGTATTTTGCGACACAATCGCTGCGAGCATCAATCCATGATCTCATTGGACAGACAATCTCTCGACCACGAGAAGGGTTGATTGAGTGAGATAGATAAAAGGTTACCTCTGATAGCATTATATTGGTTAGTATGCTGGCCTATGGAAGAATGGTGTAGCCAATACGAGTAGTCCGACGTATTCACGCCTCCTCCTCGCTGAACGCATTAGGGGGAGATTTCAATGATCATCGCTCAGATACGTCCGAATTCAATGCATGTTGGTGCAAATTCTGTTTTCTGTCTTACCGGGTCCGCAAGAATTCCACGTTGCGCACCAGTCACCAGTGTGAACGGGTGTGGAGCTTTCTTCTAGTTAAGGCCTCCGAGATCATGAGGTTTGAAGTCGCGATAAGAGCCACGTTCTGATGCAGGAGCTCCGAGGTACAGATCTCTGATCATTTCTCCGAGAAGATCTCAACTGCTTCCATCCAGGATTCTGGGGGTGCTCAAGCCTTTGCGTCGGCCGATTGGGGAAGCTCAAATTGTGGTCGTTTCAATTCTTCCCCATCCGTAGCCGACCTCTGCGTCAAAGTTATTTCTGGAACTGGAACTCTTCGCGAAGAAGCCGAAAAGAATGATACCGACGTCCTTGTGAGGCGTCTTGAACTGGGATGTGGGTGTGCTGCAGGTGTGGTGCGTGGTGCGTCTGCAGGTGATGGCCGACGAAGGAAGAAGGAGGAGCTGAACGAAGCCCGGAAGCTGAAGAACTGCCTGGTGAGTGGGAGCGTTCTGGTCAGAATCTGGGGGCGAGAGAGACATTCAGATAGGGCCAAACGGTGCACGATACGCTAGAATGGGTTGTGGGGAGACGAGTGAAGGGCTGAGATGTGCCAATCATAGGGTTCACTGCTCGCTGACCTCGAAGCACACATGCTGGGCGATTCCTACTGGTGTTCCTCCTGGCGGTGCTCTCCCCTATTCATACCCTTTGCGCTGTTGACCTGCTCATTTTGGCCCCTGAAAACCCCCAAGTCACCCCCAACCCGTATAGCCTTGTCCGCTTCCCCTGAGTCAATCGATAAAGGCGAGAATAATGGGACGGATGGGAATGGGAAATGGATAAGGGTTCAGCTGCCGCGAGTTTATTGATCAGATTCGACCACGCCAGAGACTGCAGATATCTGACGGGCCAACCTAGCTCCATCCAGATTCCCTAACTGCTTCTACTGTACCCTCTGGACCCCGCCCGCTCGCTCAAGTTGCAACTTGCAATTGCAATTGCAAAGCGGTTCCAGGGCCGCTCCTTCTCATCTACATAAGATTGAGCTGCACATTGACGGTGCCTTGCCTGCTTGCACGGTCGTGAAGTGCAGGAGTCGAACAGTCCGTCAATCGCAGTTTGGAAAAGCGCGAGGGACGTGCTTTCTCCTGCGGTCGAAGCTTCGAATCGCATTTCTATTCCTCTCATCTATTTTCCGACCGCGTGGAAACATCCAGGTCGATGTCGCCGCAGCGAGCTCGAAGTATATTCTGACCTCCCTCATACCGAAGTTGAGCAATTACACCAGTCCGGAATACTCCCACCGAGCATCATCGCCATCAGCCACGCTCCCTCGCCCACACGCGGCATCCACCACCATCGACCCCTCGGCGGCCCGTGTCTAATTCCAGCCAGTTCCAGCCACATACCACGCTTCGACCAGCACCGCAGCACATTCAATCGCTGCCAATTGCCCAATCCCAAAGACACCTCTCCGTGCAGCGCGGCTGAGTGGAAGGGTCACCCCCGGTCGCGGATACCTACAGATCAGCAGTCGTACAGGACAAAGAAAGAGAGGATAGCTCCCTCCATAACCAGCAGGAGAAGGTTCACGTCTACGCTCCCGTTCCCACTGATTATCTCGACGTGGACGATATGCGATGAGGTGCGTGGTCTGCTCCCCTCAACACTCCAGTCGTGAGCTCGCGAGCACCCCGAGACACTCGATGCTGTGACGATGATGCGATTCTCACAAGAACACCGACTAACAATTGCAGGTAATGCGATGATGGATTCTACCGATGAGCGAGCGCAGCGGGGACACTTCATGGCCGACGTCAATCCGGGCCCCAACGACCCGCGGACGATTCCCATCATTCAGACGCCTACTCTACAGACGACCGCGCCGTCTCCAAGCGATCCGATGGAGGTCACTCCCTCCCCTTCTGCGATGGCTCCTCCCCCCGACACAAACGGCGTTCACGAGCACATGGGAATGGTAGATCAACCAAGTTCAGGCAGTTTGGCAGGCCCAAGTGCGGCGGCAGCAGCAGCGGCAGGGTCCCAGCAGCCAAAGGTCGTGCAGACAGCGTTTATACACAAGCTTTACAAGTAGGCGTCAATTGCACGTTGTGGCGAAATTGAGGGCTGATTGATCGATAGCATGCTGGAGGACCCGAACATTCAGAACCTCATTTCCTGGTCCAATTCCGCCGAGAGCTTCGTCATGTCTCCTTCCAACGATTTCTCCAAAGTGCTCTCGTATGTCGGGTATTCTGTCCCGAGGATTTGGCTCACGTATGACACAGGCAATATTTCAAGCATACGAATATCTCTTCATTTGTGCGACAATTAAACATGTACGGATTTCACAAAGGTCTGTCCTCCCCCGCCAAGAACAACTTATCGTTACTGACATCCTGGCAGTGAGTGATGTTTTCCACACGGGCTCGCCTGAATCTCCCTTGTGGGAGTTTAAACATGGAAATGGCAACTTCAAGAGAGGCGATCTGGTCGGTCTGCGTGAGATCAAACGTCGGGCGTCACGACATGCATTGGTCCACCGCGACTCATATTCTGCACCCAAACCTCCGCTTCCTCAACCGGGAAATCCCGCAGAGTCTATCCACCCTATGCAAGATTCTACGGAATCAAGATTAACAAACCTGGAGCACACTCTCTATGATATGCATGCTCGCTTACAGAGAAGTGAGGAAAACTCACAATTTTTACATGTACGGAACCAAATAGTAATGGAAGCTTTATCCCGCTCGCTTCAAGTAGGTTGCCTAATTCAATATCCCCGCTCAGCGTTCAACTCAAGTTACTAATAACCCGTCAGTTGAACCACGAAATGTCGAGAGCAGTGCTCTCTTTAGTGCCTAATCCTGAAACACCTTTGCATAGGGATAGTAAGTATACAACCATTTTCGAGATCTTTTTATTAACCATCTCGCAGTTGTAAACATGCAAGCCGAGATTCAACGGCAGTCGGATGTCCTCCGATCGATGGATGAGCCTGCCGAGCCGCCATTCTCTGGCAGCCGCCCCTATTTTTCAAATCTCTCTTTGGATAATGGTCCAGTCTCACCTCGACAGATGCCTCAAGACGATCCCCGTCGAGGACCACCTACCTTAGGAGTACCGCCAAGACAAACTTTCTTTAAACCTCCCGTACCGTCTCATCTTTCTCTTACACCTAGAAGATATGGATCAATTGGGACGGCGCAATCTTCCCCGAGCTCGCTTCGTCCTCAAGCACCGCCTCCCCCACCACCACCACATCCACTTGCAACAGTCGCTTCGCCACCGTCAAATCTGTCACGGCGTCATACTTCTGCTGATATTCGCAATGTCACCGGTTGGCAGCAGAATTCATCGCCTTTCGCATCAGGACAATCTTCTTCGCAATGGCCATCCTCGCCTAAGAGGACCCCGACTGGCACCAATGAGGATCAACGAATTAGAGACAGTTTCAGCTCATATTCTCTAGCTAACGCATCAACTCAAAGCCGGGATATTTCTCGACCTACCACTCCCCCATTCTCGAATGGAGGGAGCACTGCCGATTATCTTAGTTCCTGGTCATGGGGAGCATCACGCGATAAAACCCCTACAGGTATCCTGAAGGATAACTCGGGACCACCCACTCGACGAGGCAGCATGGCTCATATACTTAATCCGGCAGAAACTGCCGAGCGGGACGAAGAACATGAAGAAGACTTAAGGGAAGAAGACCGCAAACGAAAACGACTTCAATGACCGACTCGATGAGGCACGCGCTTCAATACATCACACACGCAATTCTTTTTCAACAATTTACCCTGTATGCAGGATTTTCATCTATTCAAGGAGGCTAAAGTCTATTTTACTGTAACAACGACTAGAAAAAATCATGGGTTTGCGATTGGGCATTTGCATTGTAGAAGGGTTTCGGTATCCTTTTCGATACCGAAGCTTAGGTGTTGAGGATAATGGTGATTGGATAACAGGTGGACAGGCGTCGTAGGCGCAATTTAATTTTCAGTTTTCTGCGACGACGCATGGAATCATGATTGGATATGACTATGTAAAGTGTTGCTCAACGCTTGAATTTCTTGAAGATACAGCTATGGGACTCAATTTCCCTTGCGATTGAATATCCGCGTGCAGGTTTCTAGCCATCTCTGGGATGGAGTACTTATGTGGCTTGCAGATTCCTGGGTGACGGATCGTAGGGGACCGTGCCATCACCCAAATTCTTGTATTTTTGGTCTGCTGTACCAAGGTGCATTGCTCCTTCAAGTCAGGTATTATAGTCAAAGCGTATATCGTCTGGATTTACATCAATCTCATAAAATCTCATGCGTTTAGTCCGATTTTTCGACACTTCAATTTCTTTTTCTTCATGATCGGACGGAGCCTTATGGGATGGGGATCCCGTCCGCTTCGACTCACCTAGCGGAACGGAGATCCGAGAAACATTTCTGAGACATCGCCAATCATGATGGTTCTTTCTTTTTCGTCCCTTGGGACTGTGCGACTGTATGGGATGGAGAATTCTTGTGTCTGGTGTTCAGGCTAGGGATGTCTTCAGATCGAGATCGCTATCTGTGGACTTGATAAAGCGTCTAGCAACTCAGCGAACAACTTCTTAGTATGGTACATTGGTATCAATTCCGCTATATAACATAAGATCTTATTGCTACATCGTCTGTTACTCCTCATCTGTACCACATCTTTGAAAACCACACGGTTCTAAAGACAGAAATCCTCGCTTAAACCTCCCTCCCCTGATCTTAAGCGAGTCAGCAATCGCAACTTCCTTCCTCGGTCGTAGAGTGTTCGGCGTATTGTTGCCGATAGTGAAAGTGTTGATGTAGGACCCACGAGGATGGAAATTGGGTCGTGGGAATGGTGACACGGATGCTGTGGGTTGCCGTTGGTAGCATGGGGATGGGAATGGGTTGAAGGTGGGACGGTTTTGGGGTGCGGTGGTGGGAAATTTGGCTAGATTTGGTTTGGGTGACATGTTGATTTTGATTGATGAGTTGGAGATGTGGTTCGGTGGAGTCTAAGGTCCGAAAGGATTTTGGTTAAGTTTGTAAGTTGGTGACACCGGTTGAGATTTTGGGTCGGATTGAGTGATGTAACTCAAATCTGAGAGCAGAGGGAAGACGCAATAGAAACAAGCTTGACTGCAATCCAAACAGTCGAAAACCCGGAACAGGTATGTATCTTTTCTTTATATTTCGTGAAGTGCATTGCTAACGGAATTCTGAGTTAGACAATTTCGAAACAGAATAAAGAAAAATGACTCTACACTCAGTTCAATCTCATTAAGTCGAAAAATGTACTACAAAGCACACTGCTAGGGGATTCAGTATTTGTTTTGAGTGGAGTAATACATATTTGTTCGACAAGAAATCAATAGCCTGTTTACTTTCCGCGAAGAGAAAACCCAATTCGATCCCAAAGACAAGGCAACCTCAGAAACCGTACCAAAAGTGCAGACAAACACAAGACACCAGAAGTGTAACATTCATCATCGAACATCATATATTATTCCACCCGAAAATCTGTCCAGAGAAGCAGTCCAACACAAAATAAAGAAACATAGTAATCGTCATAAGAACCACACATCATCAAACCCTTCCCACTCGACTCAGAAACACCAATACCCACCCCCTCCAATCTCCTCCCCTCCCCCCATAAGAGTCGGCGGCCTATTCGGAATCGGCCAAATCGAATGCTGATCCCCCATCAAAAACTCGTCCTCCCTCAACTCACGAATCCTCCGTCCCTCCCCATCATACAAGCGACAGAAATTCTCCGTCCCATCCTCGTCCTCCCAGTTGCCACGACGAGAATTTATGGTGTCGTGGAAACGAGGCTCGTAACTGACTTCCTTGGGGTTTTCATTGAGTAGGTTCTGGTATTCTTCGAGAATCGTCTTTTTGATGTCGATGGCCCGTTTGTGGGGGATGCCGAAGTCGAAGGATAGGATTCGTGCGCGGATGGCGTCGATTTGGTGGGCTTCTAGTTGCTTGAGGGCTTGGTATTCGTAATCGTCGTCGTCTAGGTTACTTGAACCGCTGTCTGAGTCGTCGAGTGTGCAGGATTTTGCAAAACGTCCTGCAAAGATCGAGTCTCTCCCCAAACCTAGTCCCTCGAACTGGCTACTCCGGTTTGCTTGCATACGAAGAAATTCTTTCCAACTTTCTGAAAACGTTCTGTCCGTTAGGTCACTTGATTTGTCTGCAACACCACTTCCAAGTTCTACCGGCGGAGAGTTTTCTTTAACAATTCCCGGCACAACATCCTTCACTGGTGGCGTTCCACTGTACCTATCGTATAAGTTGAATGGTAACAATGATTGAGCTGCATGGTATTCCAACCAAGATACGACAAGTTCGCAAGTTTCCGCTTGACGATTTGAAGGGTAAGGGTACTGGTTCCAGTCGGACGTCTCAGGTGGATTTGGTTGTTTCCCACGATTTCTGAGTAGTGTTTGCCTACTCTGCCATTTGGGTGTGCTGGAGCCTAGAGACATCTTTGACAGCTGCTTTCCTTGATGTTTTCATAGAATGATCTGTCTTGAAGTGTGTTGAAACACTTCATCATACAGATGATGAGAGCCGTGGGGCCAGCTGAACATAAATAGAAATCCTTATTTCAGCCCAGTCATCCGATCAAGGATATCCTACCGTCTCTCCAGCTGCCTTGATAATATCGTGGGGTTGTTTGCTATTCGGACGGCCGCTTGCATGTTACCGTGCCGAGCAATGGACGGTTGGTACAAAAGTATGAGTAATTGGCAACAAATCGCACATGATTGGTCTTGGAATGAGCCAACTGAGACAATAGGATAGAATCTTAAGAATATGAATGGTCTCAGGAGTAGAAAACGGGTAGACATGTCGGAGCAAAGTGGTATGCGCATGGACATGTGGCAGAAAAGGCGTGTGGGGGATGGGTATAGATGGGAAGCTGCATATAGATGTGGTAAGAACGCCCACGGGATCATTTTGACTGGAACAAAATCTTTCCCGTTGTTTTAAATAGATTGCAAACTCTTGTCAATCCCGTCACCTTGCCGGTTTCCCGACGAAGGATGGAGCTGAAATGAGGATATATTTCTTGGTAATGATATGTGACCTTCAGCACGAGCGATAAGCGAGAGCGAGTATTTTAGACCACGGAATAGAGTTAGGTCCCGTATATGCGTCTCCTCTTAGAATGCCGGTCCTAAAAATAATAAAAAGAAGAAGAGTGGAGTATTCTCTGCCCAGAAGTAGATCTCATTCTTTATGAGATAGGTTGGCGGACCTTCATCTCCGAACTGCTGATTTCCAACGTCGCTTATTCCGCAACGTCATACTGAATTCCCAATGACTAGTAGCAGAATCCACCAGATCTCACTTAAATATCTTATTCTTTACACATCTGTCTACTTCTGATTTTGCAATGTTCAAGTTACCTGTTAAACCATCTCTTTTCCGTAAACAATTCGTCCCATCAACTTTACCTAGAACTCTTCCAAGCCAAGCGATCAGAATGTCATCCTCAGCAACCCCGAACCAGCAATTACAAGCTAGCAAGCTGTATGATGTGTCAAATTACACAGCTATTGTTACAGGTGGTGGAACTGGTATTGGTTTGATGATCACTCAGACCCTCAAGGCCAACGGAGCAAAAGTCTATATCACCGGCCGCAGAGATGATGCTTTAGAGAAAGTGGTTGAGAAGTATAACGATGGTGGAAAGGGAAGCATTGTCGCTTTGCCACCAGCCGATATTTCTAATAAAGATGATATCTTGAAAATGGTAAAAGAGGTTGAGGGAAAAGAACCAAACGGGATCCATTTATTGGTCAACAACGCTGGGATTGCAGCGGATGATAACACGAAGTATTCCAATGGAGAGCCAGATTTCAAGGTAAGTGCTATCTGATGATCGATAGTAATAACGAAGTATTTTGAGAACTCCATTGACGATATCTTAGTCAGCAAAATCAATCTCAGAGCATTTATGGAAATCGGACCCAGAGTCTTGGGGAGCGACCTTCGCCACGAATGTCACCGCTCAATTCTTCGTCGCAACGGCATTCCTTCCACTACTCTCGAAGACCATCGATACTAAGAAAGGATTCACACCTTCAATTATCAACATCACCTCTATATCTGGAGTGATGAAAGGATCCTCGAATGGACAATTCGCTTACGCAGCTTCCAAGGCCGCATTCATCCAATTAACGAGAATGCTAGCAACCACGCTTGTGGAGGCAAAGATCAGAGTCAACAGCATTGCTCCAGGTGTGTTTCCAAGTGAGATGACAGCTGGAAAGAGTGATGAGAATCAGAAGAGTGAGATGAATTCTGAGGCTAGTAATCCTAGTGGAAGATATGGTAGTGAGGAGGATATGGGTAACTGTGTCTTGTTTCTGGCTGGTCCAGCAAGCACTTGGTTGAATGGCCAGATCGTATACCCAGATGGAGGTAAGTTCCAACTTTCTTGAACCTCGGTATTCCCTTCATACGGAGTTGTAACTGATTGTTTGCCCTAGGAAACATTTTGATGTCTCCAGCTTGCACTTAAGCATGATTTCAACCGCTATACCTAAAAGATTCAGCCACGACGTACAATATGTAGCCATGTATAAAAATAGAATATTGAAATGACTCACAGCACTCAAAACAATCTTCCAATCCCTGACACTGCAAACGGCAATCGACAGGCAAACGTCACCTGATCCCACACCCGTGACTAGGCATCCAATCTTGACTCAACGACAATTGTCCAACTGCACCGATACCGCAAAATGCATCGTTCCTTAAGGTGAAAGAGTACAAGATGGGACCTGTTTCTAGAAGTTCTGGAGGCATCTGCATTTTGAGTCGTTTTTTGAAACCAAATGCAACAATGAGCTGAACTGCGAAACTGCAAATACAACCCACCTTTTCAGAGACATCACCAACAAGCTCAATTGCAGAGCAGCTGGTATACCGAGTTTGCATGCTCTGTTCTCTGTTTGCTTTGGGAGCTCGCAATTGGTAAAGTGGTAGATTCGAAGGCTGTTCTAAGAGTTTGTCGAGCACGTTCTCTTCCACTTAAGTGCTGCAACCCGAGACAGCATTGCCATCTCATCACTCATAATACTGAGCAGCTCCAGTCATTCAAAGCGATTGACGAACATTTCTTGTTTATTGCGAGACGAAAACTATTCTGCTCTTTTCAGACGTTTTGCTATCCATACTGGATTTGATCTGCGGTTGATCTCCGTCCAACATCAGCTGACCTCGACAGCATATCCATGAATTGGCAGTACACTCAACGACCAGATCGAGCCTTCGCAAACTTGAATCTTGCCGCTTGTCCTATTCCAACTCCTCCCTTACCGCCCTACATCGCTCGGAAGTTACTTGAAGAGATGCAGCGACCTGATCGCGATGTGGAATACGCACGTCTACCACCTTCAACTAAATTTAGGTGTCGGAAGCCAAAGCCTGCCCGGACTAAAAGCCAGTTGAAAGGGGTTCGTCAGGCTGTTGGGAACAATGCAGCAAAGGGCTGGGTGAATGTCGTGCTGTGGTCGAGAGGTTGCTGCGACTTGATCGCATGGATACTTGGTGTCATGATCATATCAACGACGAGATGGGCACATGATATTTCAGAACGATTTGACCTCCGGGCCATTCTAGCTGTGTTTTCCATATCATGTTTCCTGAGATTAGCTTCCAGCAGCCTCGAGGTAGATGCAGGTGGAAGTATTGGAAACGGAGTCTCTAAGCCTATTTACGTGTTGATGGTTCCTTTGTGAGAGTAGTGTAAGTGAACTCCAGATTCTGTTCTCAAGCTCTCTCTTTGCTTACCGACTACAGAATTTGCTTCTTGGTAGTCTTCAGAAGAGCCTCGTACCGGCAGAGGACCGCAAACGAGTAATCAAAGAAAGGAGACCGACAGACGCGGATTATTCAAGTATAGGATTAGGAAATCTAGTTATCGTGTGACAAAGAAGAAACATCCTTCCTCTGCACGTTGACACGTCGATACCAAGCAGCACTTGAAGGTATCATAGGAGGAAGAAACGAGACCAAAGCATATAAACACATCTTACATACTCAACCGTTCGCTTGAACTGAGGGAATCAAATACAAAGACGCACGAAGCGTGACCGCCGCTTAAATACCCAGTGAGAATTCCACACCAACATCAATGTCCCGCGCTATAGTGGTATTAGTCAAGTTCAAACGTGAAAGCTTAGCTACTCACCCATCTTTACAACTTTCGAGAATTGCACTGCCTTCTCTGCTGCGTTCTGTAAATCATCGATAGAGAAAATCTTGAGGCCTGATTCGTTGATCAACTTGTGAGCTGCCTCCATGTTGGTTCCTTGTAATCTGGCAATGATTGGGATTCTGAGATTCATGCTCTCAACGGTGCTGATAAGACCTTTGGCAATGGCATCACATCTGACGATACCACCGAAGATGTTGACGAAAATAGCAGTGACTTTAGGGTCGCTTGTGATAAGTGTGAAAGCCTCCTTGATAGCCTGGGGAGTGGCACCACCACCAACATCCAAGAAGTTGGCTGGCTCTCCACCGTTCAACTTGATGATATCCATGGTCGCCATAGCGAGACCAGCACCGTTGACCAAGCATCCAATATCACCTCCAAGCTTGATGAAGTTGAGGCCAGACTCGGCGGCGCGAACTTCCTCAGCATCCTCTTGTGTGGTATCGCGCATGGAGAAAATCTCCTTTTGGCGGAACTCTGCGTTGTCATCGAAACCAAGTTTGGCATCCATAGCCAGAACCTTATGATCTGATGTCTCGGAAAGAGGGTTGATTTCAATCTGGGTGGCATCCTTCTCCATGAAGATCTTGTATAGCTTCTGAATGGTGTCCTTTGCATCCTCGATACACTGCTCGCTGAATCCAAGATCAGCAGAAATCTTTCTGGCGATATCGTCGGTAACACCCTTGTGGATATCAATGTATGTTGTGGTGATCGCGTCTGGGTTCTCCTTGGCTACACCCTCGATATCCATTCCACCTTGCGATGAGGACACAATAACTGGCCCTTGCGATGCCCGATCCATCAGAATAGCAAGATAGAATTCTCTGCGAGCAAACTTGCGCTCGCAAATATATACCGAGTTACAGAGGCGGCCCTGTGCTCCAGTCTGCTTGGTGACAAGCTTGTGTCCGATCATTTGGTCGGCGAACATCTTGGCTTCTGTTGGAGAGTAGATAACACGAACACCACCCTTGAGGCCGTTATCGAATGTTCCCTTTCCTCGTCCTCCAGCAAGGACCTGAGCCTTGATCACCATATCATCTCCACCGATATCTTTCGCGATTGCTTCGGCCTCGGCGGCTGTGGTAGCGACGGAACCTTTTGGGACTCCAATGCCATACTGTAACTTGTCAACCACGAAACTCAGGCCATTTGTTAGGTTCTTACCTGTCTCAGGAGATCTGCAGAAAGATACTCATGTATACTTAAAGCTCTCTTTTGTTGTGCAACACCTGCTAAGCGGGAAGGAACGGAGATCTGGATGTTTTAGCATGTTGTTATTTGGAAATACCGCAAAAGGATAAATAAAATATTTCTACCTTGGTGGATCTGAAAGCTGCCGTAAAAGGCCTGCTACGGGCAAGCTTAAACATATTGGACGGAAAATGTACAGGAAATTTGGGGAGCCGTCAATTGAAGAAAGGAAAGTTGATGTTTGGAGATTATCTTGCCCTGTCCTTTTCGGCAGGAGTCGCGATTCTGACAGCTTTGGTCGGAGCTAGTAGGAATACGCGGGAAAACGTACTTCCGGGATACCCAAAAGTTCCCCTCAACCTCTAAATTTTATGGCAGCAAAGATTCCGCCTTCTACCATAAATATGTCGACTGAAGAAACAGAAAAGAAAAAGGCAGTGGGACTGTCTAAATCCGAGTACGATGTCATTACGAACAAGATCGCAGTTGCAATCGCAAAGCACGAAGCAGTTGTGCAAGGATGGATAGCGAAATCAGCGCGCGCAAACGAACCTCGAAAGACCCAAGCAGAGCTGGAGGCGGAAGATGCAGCCTTGTTCCGACCACAACCTCCGCGCCTTGGATTGGGATGTCCTATACCTGCCCAATTCCTGAAGAACGACACCGAAAACAGCACCAAAGAATTGCGCGCGAAGTTCTTCCCGTCGAAAACTTTAAAAGCTAGCAAAGCACGAGACGCTGAGGAGAAGGCTGCTAGTGCGAAACGTGGATTAAAAGAGCAAAGTAGTGATGAAGAAGGAGGTCGTTCTTCTTTGGGGCGAGCAAAGAAGCTCAAGACGAAACCGCAGAAAGAGGAGGTTAAGATCGAGTTGCAGGAGGTCAAGCGCGAACCTGCTATTGATGAAAGTATAGTCTTCAAAGCACCAGAAGTTAAAAAAGAAAGAGCGGAAAATGGGGACCCTAATGGCAATGATGGCACTGCTGCTCTCACGCCTTCAACGGATAGTGGCAGAATACATACTGAATTAGAGGATGTGAGTTTACTAGCGAAACGAAAAAAGAAATCCAAAGACCAGAGCCCAACAGAAGTCTTGGGGATCGTCAAAGTTGACAAGGACAACGTCAATGCTCAAACTTCTGCGAATACACCGGAGGTCCAGCCAGCCTCAGCAGACACTAGCGAGAGCGTCATCAAGCCAACAGTGAACGGCACGGACGAGGGAGAGTCAGATATAGATGAAGAAGAAAAAGTCAAAAGGAGGGAAGCAAAAAAGAAGGAGAAGCTGGCTAGGAAAAAGGAGAGGAAAGAGAAGAGGAGAATGGAAGGAGCAGCTGCAGGTTCGCCATAGTCTTTATGCTGTCGAGTAGTGGAATGCTACATCTGTCTATTGGAGTGTATAGGCTGGCTAGTTACATTAATGCTTGAACTGATCTACGTGAAGGTTGTATGTTTGTTCTACTTACGCATCTTGATTGCCTATTCATTTTCAAAATGCTGCCAACGATAGAATCCTCCGGAACCTTTCCTCTCTTCTCATGCTAGGTGGTCTTGAATGAATCTGCCTTGACTGCTTGAGAATCCACATGCCTGGAGTCTCCAGTCCCAGGCCCTCGAGCTTCATCTTCCCTTGAAACCATAGCCTTGCAATCAAAACACACTGCTTTACTTTTAAAACCAAAAGACTGATAATACATCTTTGGATTGTCAAGACGGACAGCATCAAAGCACTGTAAAGGTGATCACATACAAAAGAGATTTTCATTCCAAAGTGCTTTCTCCCTAAAGAAGATATTTTACAAAGTTATAGATGCAGTCGCTAATCTCAGACCTGCGCCCCAGGATCAGCCCCGTTTGTCCCTCTCCCTTTATCCATAATTGTACAAGCCCACTATGGGGCCATCTATTTCGCAAAGTGTAGATCGTACCCGAGCCATTTACGGGCCTGAACTTGAGCAACATCAAGTCCTGGATAACCGTATGTCAATGGCAAGAAGTAGTACCATCCTCCAATAACGATAGCAATGATGACACCAGCCGCAGCCCATGACATCAATAGGTTCTGTCCAGCTATCTTCTCACGTGCTGGGCGTTGCTTTTGAGCTGTCTTGTTGGCGCCCTTGGTGATGGCAGGGTCATCGAGAACAGGTTCCACATTGAATATGAACTCGAGAAGCGCACCAGTGACAAGTGTGGAGGCCAGATGAGCAGGGAGGTAATGATGCAAGAAGAGTTGACGTCCCATAAGGTAAAATGGGAGATAATGCATGGCCCATGCAAGGAAGAAAAACCCAGTAGAGTTATAAAGACGGGAGCGTGTGCCTGCCAAAATTAGTAAAAAGGAGTGAGATAGGGCGTAGGTAAACTTACGCAGATCCAAAGCATCAACTCCACGGCGCAATGACAGTTGATCTGCTGCAATGATGCCGGCATACACTGCGAGCAAACTACTTGCCAGCCACCAGCCAAGAGGATTTCCTAGAAAGTAGATTTGCTGGCGGGTATCATTTTGAGTCCAGAAACTCACACCTCTTAATAGAAATGGCCAGACGAAAGGCTCACTAGCGTAAGGGTGGCTACTGGTTAGAGCATTGTTATGATAGAACATGGCTCTCTGCAACTCGAACCATTTCTTGAGGAATGGTACACTCTTGACTTTGCGCTCGGTCTTGATCAAACGTGGGCTGTCTTTAGGAATTGATGGAATTTCGTCAACGAACCAGATGTTGGAGCTTTGGCCGAGGTTCTTGTTACCGTTGATTTCTAGCTGGTTGTAAGCCCAGTCTGGAAGAGGTTTAGTATGGGTCCACATTGCAACCTTGCTTGGGTTATGAATAAGTTTGAATTGGCCGGAAAGACTCTTGAACTCTTGATTGGCTTTGCCATTTTCGATCCTGATTTCGAACAGAGTATCATTGAGTCGGTCTCCCATTGCGTCTGCCATTGGAACTGTTGTAAATTCCTGGTTGGTGGGAAAGTACGGAGAGGCAACATCATGAGAAAGAAGCATGGTATCGGTGATAACATGGCGAAGTCTCACAAGGTCATTATTCTTGACCACGCGTCCTTCAGCCAAATCGTTGTTGACTGGGAGGATTTGCCAATGATTGTTGGCGTCTGCGTAAGGGTATCCAGTAACTTGCTGCCCTTGACTGGACACACGGCCGTCGTCATATCTCAGTGGGTACTTGTCTGGGTGACTGTGTAGGAAGTGATTGGTCTCCTTGTGCTTGATTTGAATATTATCGTAGTAGTTGACGGTAATGGCGTTGGCTGTCATCACATTATCGCTGAGTGTCTCCTGGAACTCAGGGGACATGAAATCATCTCCTGGCCCGGAACGGTTCAAGATCACAAAATGAACCTGGAACCAGAAGAGGTAGAACATGAATGGTACAATGATCAGGGCAAAGGCCCGGGCCGCAAAATGCTTACCGAATTCCGGGAGGTCGAGGGCCCCTTGGCGACGGTTAACATTCAAAAGATCCCAAAGATCAATTGCGACTGCGGAACCAATTGTCACGAATGCGAATAGACCGACATATTTGGTCGAGATAACGCAACTAAGTGCAAACCCGGTCAGAAGAAGCCACTTCCACCATTTCCTTCCAAAAGGCTCATGGCGAAGCTTATAAAACTTGATGTAACATAATAGACTGCAGGCCATGGCGAAGACGAGGGTCGCATCGAGAAGAATCAGACGTGTCTGACCAATGTGGGCATTGTCGAAGAGAATTAGGCAGGCAGAAACAATACATGCTGGAAGTGTATATCCAGACTCCCACATTATGTCGAAGACCACAGGAACCGTGAGAGCACCCAAAAGTGCTGGCATTGCCCGGTAAGCCACGTATGGAACCTTGTTGGTGATGTAGGAATCGCCAATGTTCTCGAAATGGAAGCGTCCATCATATCCAACGAACCAACCCATTAGGGCGAAGAGGAGTTTTCCGAAGGGAGGATGGACATCGAAAAAGTATGTTCGCTCGAGGTAGTATGAGGCAAACTATTACAGGAATATTTAGCACATTTAAGCCACCACAGAATTTTTTCTCTTACCTTGCCAAAATGGACCTCGTCGAAAACGACCTCATTGGGATGACTTATTCCCCAGAATCTAGTTATGAATGCAAGCACTGTAATAACTGTGATTGCAGCCCGGTAATCCCATTCCACTCCAGCGCCTTTCGAACTTAAGTTTGCCTTTACGAGGGCATCGAGGTCGGGCTCGCGGGGAGTCGCAATGCCAGTTGCTGGACCATCTTTCGCTTTGGCGGGTGTCGAAACGTCTTTCCGCTTCCTCACAGAGCCCTGTGAAGACATCTTACTTCAAGAAGCAGAGAAAAAGTACTAAATTTACAACTGGTAAGCCGAGGGGTCGCTCAGGTTTTGGCATGGGAGTGCTTTGAAGCTATAAAACTGACCACACAGAATTAAAGATAACTTACAATTAAATGCGCCCCTATTACAAGTCTAATACGAATTCAGAAACAGCATTGATCTTTTGGATTGATCAAGAGGCGACGTTGTTCTCCTCCAGAATACAGAAGGGAGAGGCTGAGAGTTGGAAATTTGTAGCAGACCGCGTAATTCGTGAGGTGTCCATTTGGGGCATCGCTCACAGCCGCTAGTCACGTTCAGGGGTAGTGTCAACCAGATGATATTTATAGGATGGAACTACGTGGCCATTGGCTGGGAAGGATTAGATGTATTAGTTAGTTATAGTTATTAGAAGTCGTTGTGCAATTTTTCGTAATATGTTAAGTAGAAAATGTACTCAACATATTCTTACGCTGTGTTTCCATTTGTAGAACTGAAGTACAACTCGGGACGTGTCAGGTGATTGGGGACGAACATGAGCAAGGGTCGAGATACCTAAATCCATAAACCTACTCCAGAGCCAAAGATCACATTTACCTACCAGAGATACCGCTGTCATCTAAGCAATCCATCGATATGAGACCACAGACAATAATCCCGTCGACTTTGAGATCATCATCATGTGCCTTCCGCCTGCCTCCCTCACAGTTAGGTATAATCCATAGAATGAGATTCTCGCACGCAGCAAGACTCTTTCTGGACAATAAATTGTTACATTACGCTCCCAGAATGGTAACTGTTCTTACTGAAAACGCTATGAAACGTTAGTACTTATTTACCTGTTATTTATGATGACTGACAATTGCTCAGCTGTTGGGCCATATGTGAGTATCAGGACTAGGAATCCTTCCAGTGTATTATTGCACTGACAGAACCGCCACTTGTAGTCCCAGGCAATCACAACACCGCACGCGATTTACTGCTCTGGTCAACTACCGGCAGATGCACAAGGCAATCTTATTGAAGGAACTGTAGCCGAAAAAACACGAGCGTGTATTAACGCGTTGTCGGCTGTACTTGATAGCGCAGGCTCAGGTCTCAATAGGATCGTCAAGGTGCAGATTTTTCTCACAGATATGGCGGACTTCCCAGAGATGAATGAGGAGTATGAGAAATTGATATCCCATAAGCCAGCAAGAAGCTGTGTCGCAGTCAAAGAGCTGCCAAAAGGTGTCAATATTGAAATTGAATGTATTGCTTTACCAGGAAAACGAGATGGTTGTCGACGACCAAAACCTGATACTTTTGTATCTGCTCCGGAGAACGGCCCAGAAATATGAGAAAAAACTAGACATCATCTCGAAAATGAATAAAAGCACTTCTTGGTAGTATTGATATGATTTTCAATTCAGTCTTCGATTTCCCATATCCGTTTCTTTGAAAAAAACGCCAAAGCTATGTTAGAGACTAAATCACTACCGAACTGATGCCACCATGCTATTATGCACAATTAAATATCAAGCCGTATAAACATCCTCACGTCAACCGCAACGCAGTGATTCTGCCAACTTTAGTCATCCTCATCCATCAGACTCAAGCACTCTAGTTCCGTAGAGATTAATCTTTCAAATTCCTCCCTGTCAATGCCACCAACTTTTGCTAGCCGATATAGACTCTTCATACTCGTGCTAATATGTTGCTTAATCGCCGTCTCACTCTGTTCCGGGCGGGGGTGAGCCGCTTGCCTCTCTAGTCTAGCTACCATGTCACTCCCGCTGCTGCCCGTACTCGATGAGGGCCTGGGATGGAGAATAGCCTCGGAATGAGGCGAGCCAATTGCTGGTTCTGGCGGCGACGTAAGGTGGTTCTGCATTCCGCTCATAACTTCATCCCCACCAAGTGTAGTTTCTACATTGCCATTCTGATGCGCTTCATCTGGATCGTGATTGTCCATTGCAGGCTGTACAGCTCCATACTGAGCATAGTAATCCTCATCATCGGTAGGAGCTCTTGCGTTTTCCATAGAGGGAGGGGCGGGAGAGTGTTTCGCTGGTGTTCGTGAGGGAGTGCGATCGTATTGTGCCCAATAGTCGTCATCGTCTCCATCATCCGCAGCTGGCGTCAGCAGACCGCCTCCATTTGTACTGTTTCCAGCGGTAGACGTGCTGATATTCCGGGAATCGAATTCGTCCTGCGCCAGTGCTATACTTGTGTGTCCCCATGTTCCAGTGCTGTCTGGGACGGTGACTTCTCCGATCCTCCACCCATCACCACCTCCAAGCTCATCATTAACACACCATACCAGCTTGACGTCTATGCCAAAAGGTATTAGCGAGACCATGGCCTGCAAAGTTTCTTCGTCTATCCGCTTATATTTGACCTGCACATCGTATTCCCAATCAACCTCCACTTCTCCAGAGACAGGATGCGGTTCCAGCGCCTCTGTCTTAATCGCCTGTTCTAAGTTCGGGGTCTTGGAGTGGTCATAGCAAAGAAGCGAAAGCCATGGTTCTGAGCTCGAGGCCGACAGTAATTGTACTCGCTGTCGCAAGATCGGTGAGAGCAGAGGAAGCAATGCGGTCGGCGGGTCTTTCGAGATAGCCGCCGCTGGTAAGGCTCCCAGCAACGGAGCAAGAAGCTCTTGAGCTCGAGGAGGGTGGATTGCCGGTTGCATCGCAATGTCTATCTTTTTCCAGCGGAATTCGTGGTCTTTTCAGAACAACAATCACATGTAAAGTGTTTCGATGAGCGTCACAGGGTCCTGGCGGGGCTGATGTGAGATCCGAAAAGTCGAGAAGCAAGCACAAGAAGATGTTTGTGTGTGCAGGTCGTGAACAGAATTAAGTATCATCTGCAGACCAAATGAACGGGGATATGGACGCGGCTATTCGGTGAAGCTGCGTGGTGAGATCCATTTTGCTGCTGTGCGGCCTCGTGAAGGTCCAGCATGCTGCTCCTTTTGCCCGAATCTGGCGGAGCTTAAAGGCGGGAAGGATAGGGCACCACGATGCTTGGCACGAGGCCGCCCAAGTTTCACCTAATGCAGGACATGTTCGGACAACGAGAGCCAATGATATTTTGACTCGGGGATCTTCTGATTGGCCACATCAATTATTCCAAACAAAGGTCTAGGCTAGGCTGTGCTTCTAGAATCTCACTGTATGTTGAGATTTACATGTTCATTCGTGTCTTTGCTTGGGCACCATATACGTTCTTCCTGTAAGATGGAAGTATTTTCTAAATCTGTTTTCATGAGATATCAAATGTCGAGTAGTTGCTGGGGATGATACAGTATTTAGACAGAATACGGAGAAGACTGGAAATCGAATCCCCGGTGGATCATAATAAGAGAGCTATGAGCTGATTTGTAAACTGTACAGGTATTGATACTATAACACAACACTGGAATTGCTTTCAAGCTTGAGTAATGCCCGGAGTACTCGTTCGTAGGTCCACATGGTCACCGCACTCGCTGGAGCTGCCTTGACGAGACTAAGAGAAGTCAGAAACTAGTATAGCATTCGTTGGGATATTTCTTACCTTACGGTCAATCCTCGATAGAGACCCCGTACGCCTTCTTCTCTTACAATATGTTGCATGGTCCTAGATACACCTTTATACGCGGGTATTGCCTTATGAAAGTACTTTGCTCGCGTCGGTCCCTGCACTTGCAGACGCTTCCGTATGAGATCGAGTGGGAAGACTGATGTTTTGGCGATAATGGAAGCAATCACTCCCGCAGAAGCATCGCCGGATCCAAAAGGCAAATGTAAAGTGCCCATTGGAAGGCGCAACGACTCATAAGTAGCAAAAAATATTCCCATGTAGGGAATAATCTGACCAATACCAGCACCAAGCCCTTGAAAGAAGCCGCGGGGACCTTCGTGCTTAGCAATATCTTGAATTGACGATAGCAATGAGCTGTAGATCTTCTCTGTTCCCTGGGCAGCAAATCGTGTGCGGAGAAGGTCGAGAGGATATGTCGCGGTGGTCGCGACAGCACCTGCACTGGCACCAGCAATGAAGCTTTCTACAGCAGACGGCAATTTATTCTCTCCAACGGTCTTCTGCAGAGCAAGTGTGATTGATCGATACGCCGTAAATTGAATAGCACTGTACGACACGTACATCAGCTCTGCCGGGATGTTTCCCTTCCATAATCCTGTGATTCCCTCCTCTCGAAATATCTGCTTGAGGGTGGAAACTGTTCCTCTGTATTTCGGGGAAGTGGTCAGGGCCCCAGGTGAAGGAGGCTTGGTGAGCGAATGCGTCTGCAATTGAAGACGAATCTTGACAACATCGAGAGGGGCAATCACAAATCTTGTTCGAAGTCAGTCATACATCTGAGATATTGCGGAGTTCCCGCCCACCTAGCAATGAGCCCAGCTGTCGCTCCCGCAATAACTACCTGGGTTTTGGTACCCTAAAAATTCATTAGCATGTTCTCTTTGAGCACAGGTTCAGTCCGAGCACAAACCTCATCTTTGAGATGCTCTCCAGTTCCAGACATACATCTGTTTGTCGCCTCGGAAAATTGGGCTAGGTGTACTTTATTGTCGCGTGCGAAAGATTGAATTGTTCAAGATCGTGACGAAATGTTGTAAGAAGGCTGAGAAACCCGGCGCAACAGTCCTCGTACCGAGAGTTCGGACTTACGGGACCCCTGCGGCTAGGAACGGATGGCTTTCATTTAGAATTTGGAGCTGTCAAATTGGCTAATTCTTGCCCGTAACATTAAAACTTCGGCTAGAATAACAGCTCGCCATGCTCTTTACGGTGCAAGCTTTGAGAAACTAACCCCAATTACCACCCTGGGGCTATCTTCGGTTTGCGATGATCTTTGGCACCAACGCGTTCGCGTAACACAAGAAATATCGCACGTGAGATTACTTGCCATATTCGAATACCAGTGATCGAGAAGGATGGCAGCTCTCATGAGACCCCCTACAGTTTCACGCTTTCTTAGGTGTTGCAGAGGAACGCGAGGGTTCTCGTTACAGCCACGAAGAGGGATACAATTTCTGAACCCACTGGACCCCCCAGAAGACTTGTCTGCCAATGACTCGCGGGAGTTGTTCAAGAGTGTTGAGGACGTACAAAAGAACGGCTTGGAGAAGAGAGAACCATCTGCATACGTGCCAACAATTGAAATTGGCAAAGTAACTATCTCTAAGCTACTGCTTCGAGATGCGTGTACTTGTCCGAAGTGCGTGGATCCTTCTTCGACACAGAAGAACTATCAAACAACCCAGATACCTGAAAATATCGACGTTAAATCTGTGTCGGGGACTTCAGAGGGGAAGATACAGGTTACTTGGGACAATGACATTGCTGAGTTAGGGACAGACCATGTGTCAGAGTATCCTTCAAGGCTCTTCCACCAAAACACGAGGATTCTGGAAGATGTTTGCGACCCTCACAAGATAATATCGAACTCGGAGGTCGCGTGGAACGCCAAAATGATGAAAGATAAGCTCAAATTTGTCGATTTCGATGCCTACATGACCAATGATGACAGTTTGTACGAAGTGCTCGAGCATCTCCACCTCTACGGGCTTGTTTTTTTGAAGAACGTCCCATCATCGCTCAAGGATGCCGCGGTAGAAGATATCGCCACTCGAATTGGGAGAATTCGGGACACCTTTTATGGACGAACATGGGATGTAAGATCTGTACCAGATGCTAAGAACGTCGCATACACATCTCGATATTTAGGACTGCACATGGATTTGCTTTATATGGCAAACCCACCAGGCTATCAATTCCTACATTGTATGGAGAATACAGCGCAAGGCGGAGCATCGATTTTCTCGGATACTAAATGGGCAGCCTCCCACCTGAAGCCAGCTTCCCGTTATCTGCTACACGCCTTACAAATCCCTTATGAGTACAGAAACAATGGAGAGCATTATTTTCACAACCATCCTGTCCTTTACCGCAAAAGTTCTGTCAAGCACGTCAACTACTCACCCCCGTTTCAAGCACCATTTTTATTACACCCACAGTATGCAGATGAACAATGGCATCAAAAGATAGCCGCTTTGCGAGAATTTTCGGCCGCCGTGGAAGACCCAGAAAATGTTGTCGAGTACAGGCTTCAAGAGGGAGAATGTGTCATATTCAATAATCGGAGGGTACTTCACGGCAGAAAAGAATTTGACGCGCTGGGTGGGAAGAGACATTATAAAGGTACATACATCGACACCGACGTTGTCTCGAGTCGATATAGAGTGCTGAAGCAGCTGGACGAGGAAAAGCATCCAGACAGAGTGGCGACGCAGCTGAAGGAGATGAAGTAGCAAGAATGGGAGCCCATCTACAACAATTCCTTTTTAAGTCCTATGGCTAAGCGATAATCATACTCAACTCCATCACTCCGTCGCGACGAGAGAGATATGCTTGAGTTTGTGTTTATGTTATATAGGATGATATACCAGTGCAGATTGTACTTGTACGAGACGCACGAACCTCATTTGTCCAGCACAAAAAGTGATCATATATTAATCAGTAGGCTACCGTTACCCCGAGTCTACTTAAGCATGACATGATTCAAGAAATATATTTCACGGGCTCCCAGATCCTTGGCTGGATTGATCGTCATAACCTCACTCTACAAACCAACACTTCAGTTCAAATAATCACTGTTACAATGGTATGAATAATCAATCCTCAGCATTGAAAAGTCAATATATGTTCCCAATGCAAAACAATTCACAGAAAACCCTACATGTTGAACTTGGGGCCATCAAAACCAGTCCCAAGCCAAGAATTAAGTGGAACTGTAAACGCCGGCTGTGATGCTGATAGAAACACCTTTCAAATAGCAGGATGTGTATCACAATGTCTTGAAAGCTGGCAAAGCAGCATTTGGGACATTTTTTAGTTGCATGGGTGTTTTGCAAGGCTAAAAGGTAGTCATACTAGATATGCGCGACTCCTTGACCATCGGTTTCAATATCATGTTTGTATCCTCTTTCCCAAAATTGCGAAGATTCAACTTGTGCCATCCCCGCTTTGCTGTGCGACTCAAAGCTAGCATGTACCTTTCTAATGCATTTCTGTCAGAAGTGGAGCATCTATCAGATTCAGTGGTTGGAAGTGCTTAGCTTTCTCATTCTCTCAACTGTAGCTGGTGTAGGATCAAGTTACAATCCATTAATATGATATTGGGGCCAAATTCTATTTAATCGAAATCTATGCAGTCAAAACATATATTACACTATCGGCATTGCCAAATTCATCAAATACCCAACACCATCAGTACTAGCATTCCAGCAATCAATTAATTCTGCATAACGAGGATCATCCGATCTCTCATGGGCATCGATGAGATCTCCATAAGTCTTCAATTCTTGCGGCTCTTTGTGATAGAAATTGACGTATTCATTCTCCCAGGCAGTGTACGATCTGGCTTCCCATACAGCGCGTGCACAAGGCAATGGTAAAGAACGGCAGTCATCTGCTGAGGCACAGGGAATTCCGGTCGTCAAGCCGACGACACGGCCCATTAGGAACCATACTATAGCCATCCTCGAGGAGCGTCAGCTTTTCAAAGTACGACATCATTGCTTTAGGATGAGAGGTGACATACCTTCTACAGTTCTCCGCCAGTATCCAGGAATCCCATGTCCTATTGGGAGTAACATGCTCGTATGAGAAAAATACACCGTCCATATGTTGCCGCATTCTTTCACATAGAACCTTGAACTGTGAGTTGGTGGGTGGACGATAGTGTATGCTTCAACAACTTACCTGAAAGTAAAGGAGCATTTGTAGAGCCTGTACTGGTTCATGAGGAGAGTTATCAAGAAACCTGATGATAATGTATATACTGGAGGCCTGAATTGCTGACATTAGATGATCAGGGGGCATGTTGTCAACCTAAGAATACTATTAACATCAAGCCTCAATACGTGTGTTAAGGGTGCATACATTTTCAGCAAAACGGAGCTCTTCTGCACGTATCATGCTCCACATGGACGCTTTAGATTCATGTGATTTAGAAGCGAAGATGTTCGATATACGCATACAGTTAACTAGCGGCTCGCGATGCGTCAGGTTTAAACAATTGCCTAAATATTCGTTCCAGTGCGGATGAACGAAGCAGGGAAAAGTCTCTCTTCGAATCATCATCCGTGGGAAAGACCGAAATGCTTGTAATATGAGACTTGCACTGTGCTGAGCAACAGGATCTCCCATCTTCAACGTGCGAAGAATAGAGTTGTTGAGCTGCGGATGGATGCTCCTCGGTATTCCAAGAGCATTCAAGAATTTGTCTTTATCGGTCCAACGTGATGGTTTAAAGGATGAACTCGGAATTTGAGCGTTGGCAAGACCTGCGGCCTGCGCCTCTGTCAGGTTTTGAACAAAAGAACCCATGATCAGTTCGAGGTCGGTTGCAGAGTTGAGCTGCTGGAACGAGTTCTGCATTTCTTCAGGGCTGGAAAGTATTGTAGGGGGGTCCATGTGCAAAGGAAAATCAAGACATGAGATAAGTTGGGACAAGCGGTCGAATGGTCGAAACATGTCGATGTTCGTAGCTACATATTCTTGAAGGCCCGGCCGTTGGAGTTCTGGAGGACTATCGACAGAGGCTGAGTCGCTGGTTCTAAGCGGAACTGATGCATTTGGAGTCGACGAAGACTTTCCGGGAGCAATAGACGCCTCGTACACGCATGCAATGCCTTTGTTACTACATCGACTACAGGGGGACTGGAAGTCGCATTTCGTTTTAGCGGAGCCACATGCACGACATGATCGTTGACGGACGCGGGGACGGTTCCGAGCACGTAGACAGTATGCCACATGGCGTTTGTAGGATAACTCTACATGCGTCTGTCATTAGCAGGTGTTCTAGACATAGCAAAGAGAAGAGGTGAGTTGCTAGTCCATTAGCAACTAAGGTCATTGTGTGAAACCGCTGCTAGTCACGAATGAATACATATAGAAGTACCTTTAGTATAAGGCTTATTGCAAGTATTGCAAAACAGTAAAGGGCTTGACATTGCAGCTCTTGTTTTATTCGCCTATTTGTTGACGACAGCAAGCAGGGTGGTAAATGTGCCGAGTGAACAGTTTGACCAGAGGCTACAGTTCTAAGTAAGCAATGCGGCGAAATTGGACTCGAACGGCAATCATAAGAAGATTTATGCACCTTCAAAAGGTGTGGTCTTTGATTATGGCAGTAGAGATGCGGTTGTCATCTACGGCCAATTTGGCCGGTACTAAGCAATCTGACTTAATAATGACCAGATCCCTTGGCTTGGCGGTGGAACTATCATCTTTGTGCGGGATCACTCAACCCATGACAGAATCTCTGCAGAGGCGCATTGAATATCATTTGGAAATATAGCAAGAAGGAGATGTGGTAACAGAATACCTTGAATCAAGAGTCGAAGTTCATTTTAGCTGTCACAACCTAAGCGAGCCCGGATTCAGGGTCCAATCAAATAAAGTCACCCCCTGTTATTGATTCAACCACGCCCGCGACGGCTAATGTCGTCTGAACTTCTGCAATATAGAGGAGTTCTAAATTCCACAGGCTATCGAACAAAATGGCTCCAACATCTAAAAAGCAATTGGGCAATGTCCTCGTCATAGGAGGTTGTGGCTTCCTCGGTCACCATATCGTGAACCTCCTTCTGTCCTCCTACGATTGCAAAATATCCGTACTCGACCTCTATACAACGCGAAATCGACGGCCAGACTCCGATGGAGTCGGCTACTTCAATGGAGACATCACGTCTCTCGATGCCTTAATACCCATTTTCAACAAGATCAAGCCGGATGTAGTCATACATACTGCGTCGCCAACTCTGGTTGGAGGGAACAAGCAGATGTTTTATAAGGTTAATGTGGAAGGAACGAAATCCGTTGTAGAAGCATGTAAACAGACTGGCGTGAAGGCTTTGGTTTACACAAGCTCGGCCAGTGTAATATCTGATAATGCTACGGATTTGATAAATGCCGACGAGAGGTGGCCGATTATTCCACCCAAGTCGCAAACGGAGTACTATTCGCAGACCAAGGTATGTTATGCTATCAATCATTATGGTCTCAAAGGGAACGCTTTCAAACCCGATCCGAACTTTTCTCAAACTCATGTTCTAATTACAAATCAACAGGCTGAAGCAGAAATCCACGTTCTCTCCCAAAACCGCACCGGGTCCTCGAAATTCCTAACCTGTGCTCTGCGACCCGCAGGAATCTTCGGCGAAGGCGACGTCCAAATGGTCCCCAATATGATGAATGTATACCGAGACCAAAAGACCGGCTTCCAATTGGGCGACAATACCAATCTTTTTGATTTCACCTACGTAGGAAACGTAGCGCATGCGCACTGTCTCGCAGCGTACGCCTTACTGAGAACATCCGCATTATCCACCGCTCCCCTGAGCCACGAGAAAATCGATGGAGAGGTATTCATGATAACAAATTGCGAACCCGTATACTTCTGGGATTTCGCGAGGATGATATGGAAATGCCAGGGCTCGACAAAGGGAACGGAACATGTCTGGGTTATCAGCAAAGAAGTAGGGAATATTCTAGGGACGCTTATGGAGTGGGGATTCTGGCTCGTAGGAAAGAAAAGCAAATTGACGCCCAGGGAAGTGAAGTACAGCTGTATGACTAGGTATTACGATTGTACGAAGGCAAAGGAAAGGCTAGGATATGAGCCAATTGTGAAGCTGCCTGAGGGGATTAGGAGGGCTGTCAAAGCGCTGGAGGATCAATATCAGAAGGAAGGGGAGAAGAAAAGCCAGTAGGCCCACTAGCTGTTGTAGGCAATCTAATTTGATCTGAAAAGTTGTTGCTACGGGCGAAGGGATTTCACTTTTGGAGATATAACCTGCTGATACCTTAATGTACAATATGAATTTTTTAAAATGGAACTCATGTGACAACTGTGGACTGTGTCATATCTGAGGTTATGGACATAGACTTTAGACGTCATGCCATATTATGTGCATGCTTGTATCTGGATAACAGTCTCTCCCATGTATCATTGCCAACTACTTGACCCTGCGCTTTATCCCATTCCTTTGCAATTGCCACAAGTATACGCTGAACTCCACCCATAGCCTTGTTCGCTATCTAGATCGGTTTGCCCCTTTAAGAACGCCAGCTAGTCCATGAAATGCACATAGAGGTAGAGAAGAAATTCAAGAATGGCACGCTAATTACACAACGGAAACGGGTATACTCGAATATAGCGACTGGATGAAAAGGGTATTTGATTGGACGAGCATCTCAAGTGTTTGGTCATTCCCTAATTAGGTTAGCAGATAGTTTTCTCTTCAAAATCATCAGTACCTACTCCATTGACCGCTGAACTGCTCTACGGAGTTTTCGGTTGTACATTTTCTTATCTTCAGGCGACCCCCAGAACAATTTCGCCGCTTCCGGGTTGACCATTGTCCGAGGATCATATGGCGGATGCTCTTCTTCCAGGGCCGCGATGATAGCTTCAATATGTGATTTGGCATCCTCAACGCGTTTAGTGGTGTAGCAAGGTGTTCCATCCGGCGCAATCCGATGGTGAAATAGCTGTGTCTCGAATCTGGCTCTTGGCTGTTCGTCTGGGAAATGAGGACTAAAGAAGAGTTTAATCTTGAATAGTCCCCCATCAAGATTTGTCATGGGTCGGCCAAAGTAGGTGATATCCCAAACAAACGGATTTTTATCAACCAGCTCAATGGTCAATGTAACATTCTTATCCCGCTTGTATGCCTCGACCACTTGTTCAAATTGTCTTTGAAGATTTGCGGCCGCAGTGCCTTCACGTTTTTTGATGACTAGCCCTTCGGTGGCCCATCTTTCAGTCTCGGTGTCGAGGGTCTTTTTGATAAAGTTCAGGCGTCTCTCTAATTCCGTGTAATTGAATTTTCCTTCCATGCAGTTGCCCGTGCATTCGAATGGCATGCGCGTGAATTGTTGACCATCTTTGACTTCCAGTTTTGCCTTGCTGATGGCGAGAAGATATGAGTCATAGTACCAGAGAAACCGCCTTTTGCATAGGTCTTTAAAAGGCTCAAAGTTCACAGAAGACTCTTCAAAGTCTCTATCATTGTCTCGGTCATCGTCCTCACTATCGTACCCAGAACCACGGGACTGCGGGAGCACGATACCCGAAGGAGAAATGCCCAAATACTCCTCTAACCGTTGAATGACAGTGATGCGAAGAGTCTCATGGCGTATCTGATAGACTGGTCAACAAAATCCAAGCCAATTGTACTGTTTCACAAACCTTTGCGACATAGTCCCTCTGATTCTTCTTGTCATTCTCATCATTGGCTGTTTCAAATCCTGGTTCGTTTTCGTATGGGTTGGAAGACATAAGACTTTGTATTGAAATCAAGATCGACTCAACCCCTTGCGCTGACGACCACTCCTCGCCTCTTTCTCCCCTCCAGGTACTGGTCTCTTCGTAAGTCAACTATTCCTCGAACTAAAGTGTCTACTTACCCTAAAATGGACCTAGAATTTAATTAGCTTATAAGGCCAGGCTGGAGAAAACATATTACTCACAAACAGACTTTTCCTTGAGCATATATATTCGGATTGAATCTGCACCTGCCTCCATTTGTCGTAGTTGATTGTACAGAAGGTGCCTTTCCAGGATAATCTGGGAGAAATTCAGCTGCCATTGCCCACGATATATTGTTCTTGCTCTCGTCATACCCTTGCCAAACTTCACTGCAAACTGCATATGCGTAAGTAAACGAGACCGTTCATCGTGAGGATGTACCAACCTCGAAAAACCCGAATTCATATGGGGAGTCGGAGGGGCCGATGATGATGGCTTTCACGTTGCGAACGTCCACGTCCCGACAGGCGACAGCCAGAGCTACAGAAAGGTTTATTAGCACGCTGAAAGTCTTGTTTCGACAGGACATATAATTGTGCTTACACAAGTCTGAAGATCTCTGAATATCTGCCAACTCCTAGAAAGCGTGCGTTGTCAGCCTTGCGACCCCACCATGAGAGGTTGCGAGCGTTGCGACAGTACCTTGGTAATGCGGATTATGGAGTGATTTGACATGACTGCAATAACCCAGATATCAGAGCGAGGTATGACTCTGAAATTTCCGCCTCGTTCGCGGGTTCATGAGTTGTAAGAATAGAAGAAGATTGTTGGCGACCGCAGATGACTTGGAAGTGTCGAGACACTGCTTTGGACGTTACGGTGGGGAAGCCTGAGCCAGCCAGTAGATTACCTATTTTTAAAAAGTGGGCCCGATGCGTGAGGCTGAGACTCCATGAGTGAACGCGGAATAGGCTCCTGAGCCAAGACGAAGTACTTCCAATTATTTTGAAGTGAACGAAATATAATGCTAAGTCTTTTGCAGCATGACTGTACCTCATATTCGAGGGCTAAGATGGAAATTAACTCAAGCACAATTGTAATTCCGGTAGGCTACTGACAGAATCCCTACCAAATGCATAGCAAATGTTTATATGAAGGAAGCAGGCTCGAAATACTTCATTCCTAAATATCAAGATATAGAGATACCTAGGTACCTAGGTATGTACAACAAATCTGCACACTTGATGTTTATCTTCTTTCGCACTTTCAACCTTGGGTTGACGTTCCGATACGACACGTGATATGACTAACGGTAGTGGAAGTCGCCACCCAGGGGGAAATGAAGGCCGCAGCGGGAGATATGCATCGACTTTTGTTACAAAAAATCTCCTGACAAGTAGCCTACTACTCACGCGATCCGGCAATCCGCGAGTTCCGACCCAAGTACCACTTGTATATCAATCCTTTTCTATCCGCCTTCTGCTCTTCATCTGTTCATACTCTCTTCGAGCGCTGCGTTCTTCAATACAGCCTTCGACGTCAAACTATCATTCGACTAAGAGTGCTACACACCCCTCCACGTCGGCCGCAATCATGTCGCCATCGCGCACGCTCCCAACCTATCTCTATTCCGAATTGGCATCCCACAACACCGAAAAAAGCTGCTGGATTACAATTGGAACCCGGGTATTCGATGTAACAGACTTTGTGGAGAGTCACCCAGGTGGAGGAGATCTTGTATTAGAATACGGAGGCAAAGATGTCACTGAAATACTAAAAGACGAAGACTCGCATACACACTCCGAGGCGGCCTACGATGTGCTTGAAGATTCTTTTATCGGCTTCGTCGCAACCCCAAAAGTCATCGATGCTACAGTCAAAAGTTCAAGACCTAGTGAAATTGTGCCACTGCCATCTACATTGGACGGAATCGTGGAGTTGGAGAAGAATGGAGCAGCCGACGCTGTCCCAACATACGCTGCTACAGGCATGGCTTCTGCCGAGGATCTCTCCAAAGAGACTGATCTTGCGACCGATTACAAGACACACAAATTCCTCGATCTGAACAAACCCTTGTTGTTACAAGTGTGGTTTGGAGGCTTCAGTAAGGACTTTTATTTGGAGCAGGTCCATAGGCCTCGTCACTACAAAGGAGGGGAATCAGCACCCTTATTTGGGAATTTCCTCGAACCTCTTTCAAAGACGCCTTGGTGGGTGATCCCAGTAGTCTGGCTCCCGCCAGTCACGTATGGAACATACATTGCTCGGGAAGGTTGTTCAAGCGCCCTACAAGAAGCTTCCTATTGGCTGTTCGGTCTTTTCTTTTGGACCATTATAGAATATGTCCTTCACAGGTTCCTGTTCCATCTTGACAAGTAAGTTACAATATCTGTTATTGTTATTTAAATCATTATACTAATCTTTTTCAGATGGCTTCCAGATAACCGTGTCGCTTTGACGGCACATTTCTTACTTCACGGAATCCACCACTACTTACCGATGGACAAGCTGAGACTCGTCATGCCTCCAACACTCTTCCTTGTTCTTGCGATTCCTTTCTGGAGATTCGCACATACTGTCATATTCTGGAATTGGCATATGGCTACGGCCGCCTTCTGTGGTGGTATCTTCGGCTATATTTGCTACGACTTGACTCACTACTTTCTTCACCATCGTAACTTGCCATCTTATTGGAGAGAATTGAAGAAATATCACCTTCAACATCACTTCATGGATTACGAGAACGGATTTGGTGTGACGAGTCGATTCTGGGACAGAATCTTTGGCACGGAATTAGCACCACCACCAACGAAATCGAGATGAAATTTCACGTTGTGAACAACCACAGAAAGATCAGAATGGGGCGTAGAGGACGATTTGATGATATTTCTGAAGTCATTCTGGGCCATGATTCGGCGTTGATTGTAGATAGGGTGGCGTTGTTGGAAATTTAGAACCTACGTCGAAGTACGCTACTCGTCGTTTCGACCATTATAATAATTAATAAGACTGCATTTGATTCACAAGCTTGTCCAGATCAAATTAATCACACGTGCGTATTTCTCATGTGACTTTGGCTAGTGACTAGGATTCACGTCCTGTTAGCGTAACCGAATTTTCAGGCATCACTTTTCATCAACCCCAAGATTTTCGTCCAACAAAGCTACCGAGTCCAGACATATCATCTTAACCTCATTTCCCCAGAATCTACGTAGTCGAATATACTTCCAGTAATTACGACATACCATTGCCTTCGCTGAGTGTTCCACAGTGTCTTCATTATGTCAGCACTCGATGTTGAGGCGTTGTTGGATTCAACTGCAAATGCCACCCCAACTGAGCCAAACGGATCGTCCAGAAAGGATGGTGATGACCGCCACAAATCAGAACGCAACGACCGCAGAGACCGAGAGCGTAATCGTGATGTCAGTCGTGACCGCGATCGGGACCGGAAAAGACGCGACCGAAGTCGGGACAAATCTCGCAGAGAGATCAATGGTGACAAGGAGGTGATGGGCACACCGACCAGTGAGCACGGTAGCGCCCACGGCAGTGCAAAGAGTAGGCGTAGAAGCAGAAGTAGAGATGATGACCGTCGACACTCACGACGCCACAGAGACAGCCCAGACGACACCAGCCGTAGGGATGGCGACTTTTGGCGAGCAGGTGGTCGCGCTCGCACACGGTCTCGCAGCCCGAACAGATATTACCGTCCTCGCGGAGAGCGTCGTGATCGCGACGATGCGGAATCAAAGTCTAGAGACGATCGTAGAGGCGGTCGCAATGAAAGCCGTCGAGTCAGCAGAAGCCCGAAGAGGGAGGCTACACCTCCATTGACAGAGGACGAGCGTGATCGTCGCACAGTTTTTGTTCAACAACTAGCTGCACGTCTTAGGACTAGAGATCTCATAGGTTTCTTTGAAAAGGTTGGTCCAGTCAAGGAGGCTCAGATCGTGAAAGACCGAGTAAGCGGCAGATCAAAAGGGTATGTAGGCCCCTCTAGGCACAAAGAGTACCACTGACAACTTCTATAGTGTTGGTTATGTTGAGTTCAAGAACGAAGAATCAGTCCCTGCTGCTATACAACTCACTGGACAGAAGCTCCTAGGAATTCCCATCATCGCCCAGCTTACCGAAGCCGAGAAGAACCGACAAGTTCGTAACCCTGAAGCTGCTGGTAGCAATCCGAATTCAATCCCCTTCCATCGACTATATGTGGGTAATATTCACTTCAGCATAACTGAAAGCGATCTACAGAACGTCTTTGAGCCTTTTGGAGAACTCGAGTTTGTACAGCTACAAAAGGAAGAACAGGGACGTAGTCGTGGATATGGGTTTGTCCAGTAAGTTCTTCTATTGTCACCCGCGGTGCTATTGGCTGGAGCTGACGAATATTAGGTTCCGTGACCCGAACCAAGCTCGGGAAGCTTTGGAAAAGATGAATGGATTTGATCTGGCTGGGCGGCCAATTCGTGTTGGACTTGGAAACGATAAGTTTACTCCTGAGTCTACCGCCAGTCTCTTGCAGAGATTCCAAGGGCAGAGCCACCAACAACAATTTCAGGGTTCCGCATTCTCTGGCGCTGGTGGACGCGGTCCCCAAGCCGCCAACGGTAGCAATTTCGATCGTGCCGGCGGGCGCGATAACGACAAAAGCGCTGGTGGAGCCAGTGCATTGGACGATACAGATGTTGGAGGTGTTAATTTCAACAACTATAGTCGAGATGCGTTAATGAGAAAGCTCGCGCGAACTGACGAACCGACGACTAGCAGTAATGGCCGAGAGGAGAGACGCGAGATACTGAAACCGAAGACAGAATCCAAACCTCTTCCACCCGGCGTCAATATGGCCAGTAGATGTGTCGTGCTCAAGCATATGTTTGACCCCACTGGGTACGTATTTGACCCATATCGAAAATGCTGAATATATGGCTGACACAATGTTTAGGCAAGATAATGACGACTGGATAAAAGAATTGGAGGATGAAGTTCGAGCAGAGGCTGAAGCGAAGTATGGCCACGTGGTACACATCGCGATAGATCCGAACTCCGATGGCGACATTTATCTCAAGTTTGATCGCGTCCAAGGAGGAGAAAATGCCATCAAGGGCCTTAACGGCAGGTTTTTCGATGGGCGGACCATCAACGCTACGCCTGTTGTGGATGCGGTCTACAGCAGTTTGTTCTCTCGCACAAAGGCTATCTGATGATGCTAATCGGGAATGTCTTAAACCCTTTTAGGAACGCCTGGTAAGATCCACGAAGTCTGCTTTTCTCGCTAGCTCTAATATGATTGTAGATCTTTCAGTGACGAGAATACCTACATTTCTGTCAACAAAGCCCTTCCCCATTATTATCCTGACAATAGGTTACATACATAATCCACCATACAATCGATATCCTCGTCTACCTCGGGTAATATGGTTGTTGTACTCGACATTCAGGACCGCAATAATGAAACTTGATCGTTGCTGATTAGAACATATGCAGGAATTTTCCTCGTCGGCGGCCCTGGAGTTTTGGTGTTCTCTTGGAGTTTCGAGACTGATAAGGAACTAAGCTGATTGCACATAGGTAGCTCGTACAAACAGACAACTTCGTCATTCCCTAAGTAGTATTCGTAGCCTTGCCATTTGAGTAGTTAATTTAAAATGCTTGTCAGCCTGCCTCTTGGCACTCGTTCCTGATCTGCCGCTAAGTTTCCATTTTCCTAGATCAATCTTGAAATTTCACGGATTGATGCTCTTAGTCGGATTAGACATACGTCGGATCTAAACTCGTGTAGTCCCATTAGTTTGCCCCTCTGGAGAGAAGACTATACAAACAACGTTGAAGACAATCTTGGTGTGTTTTACAGCTATTACTTTACATTGCCTTCAAACTGAACCAGTCTAACAACGTGATTGTATCGTCACAGTGCTTGCAATTTTGAACTTCGTAGCATCACTCCGCTTCGACGCCTTAAGAATGGTTAAGCTGATCTTTTGACTCTAGGTTATTGGATGGTAACCGTTCTGCTAATCGACTATGTATGATAGCTTAGCGAGAGGAACAGAAATTGGTTGGCGCCCTTCCATTCGAGGCGTGTATGTTGATGTGAATATCCTTAAATACAGTAGCCTAATGCTTGGCCCTACAATGATTTGGGCGTCGCTGGAACCGGGTTGAACTGACCAGCAGTGTGAACAAGATAGAGAGGTCTAAAATCTCAGCAAATTTCCTAAGCAAGCTCTCGTCCCTACTCTGCGTACTCCTCGAGGTAAAACATGCATTTTCAATCATTTCAAACCCCATAACTCTAGCCACGGCTTGTGTACGTGTGTCAACTCAACGTGTGCACTCTTGTTGTTTGGGACCGCGTCACAATGTATCACATACTGTTGATTTGCGGCATGGATTCTTTTTGACGCGGTCCTATCCTGTTATTTATACAGAGGTTGTTTCTCTTCCAATGAAATTTCTGGGGCTGGAGAAGGGATCCTCTGATACCTGGCGATATGACTCTGGAGACATTGGTGCATTTGGTACTTCATCACTACGCTCTTTGCTAAGCTTAGCTACTTTGCCCTGAAAGAAACAAACCTTGGATTGACAGAGGTATGATACAATGACCCTTCACTCCCTATTATAATGAGCACTAATATCGGATCATGATAGGAAATCACAAATATGACAAACTCAGCAGCCGTCCAGGTGGGTGGTGATCTAAGTGTTTCAGACCCTCAAATGGCGACTGCAGCCGAGGCGCGCTTTCTTACTCTTTACTATCTGGATCTCTCTGTTTACTTTCACATGAAAAGTGATAATTGCACTTTCTGCGAATAATCTAGTCAGGAAAGTACACTCCGCAAAGCCACATCGCCTCTTTGCTCCTCGCCTTCATCGAAAAACATCACGTAGTGCCGACGCCATTACCGTCTCTGAATCACAAACATCCTGCACCACAAATTCACCTAGAGCAAGCAAAATTGTCGACAGACCAGGTAAAAACATACAAAACTTAGATGGCTGGGCCGCTATCCCGTTGCTGAATGCTGATGTTGACCAGGGTTGTCTTGTGTGGAGCAAATTGAGGGTGAATCTACGCGAAGTTGAATTTCTGGGCCTTATTTATTGTCGGCTTCCTGCTCCAACCTTCTTCTTCTTCTTACAACCTGTTCTACATACAAATATATTCCAACCCATATCCTCTCCACATCATCTAAAACTTTCCAATCCCATTCATGGTCAACCTTTACCTTCAAAAGCAAAATCTACCCGTCTTCAATAGATTTTCCCTTCGACACACCACAGATCGTTTTGGAAGAGATATCGCCTCCAATATATCTTTAGCACCGCTCCGCCTTTCTGACCAGTTTGATACAGTCGACTTGTTGACATACTTTCTTCTATCTGTCGGCAAAATCCAAACCATTTACCTTCCAACCTTTACTTTTGCTGCCAAAGGGTGAACATGCCAGGAGGTAAACATTCACATAATCAGCACTCTGATTCACAACCCTCAGGTTCCGGTCTAGTTAAAGCAGTGTACGACACGGGTCGAGAACGAGGCGCTTCTGCTACACCAGCTCCCCCAACATTCTCTCCACAGGGAAACAGACGTCCGGCACAACAAACGGATAACATGAATCCTAGCCACAGTCACAGTGGTAGTATCCATACACCGAGCCGTACGCCAAATAGAAATTTTCCCTCAATGCCGTCTTCCCAGCAGACCTCACCACATCATCGAAACTCGTCCAATAGCACACACCAGTCTCGCCCGAGCCAGACTAGCTCAAGCCAGTTTGGTGGTAGTCAGCAGCAAGGGGCAAATGTGTCCCCGAGCAGTCAGGTAAGGCTCACCTTCAAGTTTTTGGGGCGCCTACTAACTATCATAGATTGTTAACGTCGCCGATCTTTCTCGGCATCTTCAGGCCAGCCTAGACGCTTTTCAGCACAAGATCAGAACAACCCCAGGTCTTGCAGCAAGTGTACAAGACGTTCTTATAGCGGAGTGTCGGAAGATAAGCCAGGAGTTCAACCAGAAGCAGCGGGCAGTGCAGCGTCAATTTGACGCTATTACCAATGAGAAACATGAACTGTCTTCTCAGCTCGAACAAGCTTATCGACAGCTGAATAGCAAATCGAGCCAGCTCAACAATGCAAACACCGAGCTCAACAGAGCCAAGCAAGAAAGAGACTCTTTGAAAGAACGTGTAGCGGAGCTTTTGAGGCGAGAGGAACAGCAGCAGAAGCAGTGGGCTGCGCTAGACTTGGAACGGAAAACCATGATCAGCGAGCAACAGAGTCTTATTGCTCAATTGCAGCAAAAGGTTTCCTTCCAAGCGGAACAATTGGGTGGCAGAAGGGGCGTTTGGATGGATCAACACCCTGAATCAAGTCCACGCCGGGATGCTATCATGCGATTACAAGATCCATTTAATTCTTCGCCAGTATCGTCTCAGAATACCAAACACGCCCCAATAGGTCATGCCGACAATGGTGAATCGTCTCGACCCAATAACTTCTCCGATATGGGTTCCAATAAAATGGTGCCCACGGGTCCTGCCAACATGGGGAGCTCTAAATTCTCTCGCCGTGGGGCTTTGCCTCTTCCATCAGCACGCCCTCAGCAGGCACCCCAGGTGCCGATGCTTCAGAACAACTTCTTGTCAACGAGGGTCTCCCCGAGTGAACGAGGTTCAGGATCTCGACCTCCATCTGCAACAGGCAATAAGTTTTCAGCGGGCAGCCAAGCTGTCACGATGCCCTTCCAGACCCTGTCTTTCGGGCATGCTCCTAACTCGTCCTATTCTGCTGTGCGAAATCAACCATCGTCGGCGTTAGTACTTCGTTCTTCCAACAGCGATTTCAACCAAGAGTACGCAGATCAATTCAGCACGATCTACGCTCTCACTGAGGGATGGACGAAGAGCTACGCAAATCAACCCAATCTCGTCAACGACCAGAATATTTCTCAAAAAAACAATGTTCTCTGGGAATTCATGATGAACTGCACCTACCCAGGTCGAGCACAAGATTCTCACAGTCACGTCATGCTTCTGCTAAATGATTATAATACGAGGCGCTGGTTTGTAATGCGAATGTGTGTTACATATTGCGTGCAGGAGATTCTAGATGTCGAAGCTTTCGGAGGCTATAGTAAGCAGACGGATCAAACTCTTTCAGAAATCAAAGAGGCTGAGAAAACTCGAGGTAAATTACTCCTTCTTCCCCACTACCGATTCCACATTCTGACTAGATAATTCAGGCTTTACTCTTGAGCGCCGTCAGTATCTCGTGGACCAGAAATGTCGAGCGATAAAATCCATTATCAGCGCGAACAATTACCAGGCTTATCGTGCAGACAGATTGGCATACCACACAAAGAAGCTGCGAAATATACTTGGACCAATGCTGAACGACAACGTCGATCGCACCACTGCTGGGAAAGATCTCGGCGTCATTGCGGTCAAGGCTTGGGATCTTTCCGCAAAGATGAACAGCTCTGGACTTACGTTTCAGATTATATTTCCGGAAACGGCCTCCAAATATAATGCCTCATCAATGATCGCGAAAGACCAAGCACCGGGGCGCGGAATGGATTTGCAAATCAAGCAAACCCGCTTGAAGCTAGTGATCACACCTGTTATCACGATACGCGACGATCGAGGAACCACTCTCATCGCCAAAAACATCCATCAGTCAACAGTGCTCACTATGGGCTGATCAAGAGTAGTCAGGCGTTATTGGAGTTGGCGGAGCATATTAGAGGCATGGCAAGAGCATGGGAGGGGTACTGTCATAATTTTCGGAAGTCCACAAATCTCGAGCAATTTCGAGAAAAACGGCATTAAAAGTTTCAAATTTCATCGACGCATTTTTCTTCGACATCACCAAAATTAGCAACTAATTTCATCATATCTTGGGCTGCATCTGGTCGACAGGAGGGTTCATCTCCGGACTACATCATAGAATGTCTTATTGCGAAGTGTTTCAATGCATGGTTCGTGGGCAAAGTTGCCCGTATCTAATTAAAATAAACTGCAATTATTCTTCGTCACCATCAATATCAATTATTCTCAAGATCCTTGTCTCATGCAACTCATCGTCTCGAAAATAACGTCAAATGTAAGTAGGCGACCTTGATACTTATGATCTAAAAAGCGAAACTAGCGTCCTTAAGCGTTAAATGCCTTCTCCGACAGCTCGTATGAATACAAAGTCGGACCTTAAGTATAAGGTATCTAAATTAAAAACCCTCACCTTCGCGGGAACACCTCAAGAGTTTAAATATTCGCGGTGGAGAAGGAGGAGTATCATTCAGTGAAAGTTGTCAGGATGATATCGCTTGGTGTTGGGAGGTTCTCAGCATGGAGTCAGAGGCGAATGAAGGGCATGTGGGGGTTATCACGGGGTCAAGGTTTCCATATTATGATGGCCTAGTTATTTCGTTGCAAAAACCCAGCATTAATCAAGTAGACTTTTCTTTTGACGAATAATAATAGACGACGATGCGATTCTTAACGCTGGTTTCAAATTTAATTGGCATTTACGACTTGTGTTTTGGAAAATTCTAGTATTCATGTATGATGAGTACTATAATATGATCGATATTGCCATGCACTAAGCTTTCTGCAAGACCTCAATTCCGGATACTAACTCTCGAGAGTAGGCCCAGCCATCCACATATTTCTTAAAATCTCACCTGACTCCGACCTGAGTACAATAAACCAAATCCCCAGCCCCGCAACACTACTCACTATAAACCTTCAAATCAATCACGCCCCCAACCTCAAATTAAGTGAATAGCATCTTTCAACTACACGAGTGGCTAGGCGAGTCTCCTCGGCGTGATTTCTTGGTCAGAAGACAGGGTTGTGTATGAATGGAGTGTTTGAGAGATATCAATCACATGTCAAGGTTGATATGGGGTGCTGAATCATGTATTTGGTTTGTGTGATCGTAAGAGGTTAATGAATCACTATTTGGAATGACTGAGATGGTTTTACTTGTGATTGTGATTGCAGTGGGTGGGAGAGAGGGGTTTGTGAATGGAGTTAGTGTGAGGTGAATGCTTGGGAGGGGCTAGAACAAGAGCTGATGTTTTGATCAGGAGTTTGAAAAAGGTTGGGAGTACATAGATAACTTTCATTTTATTTGATGTTGGGTTATTGGCAACAAGAGGGAAGTCGGTGGGCAAAACAGGCGGCAGTCAAAACACTGCATTTCCTCGATC